CACATAAATCACGGAACGCTTCGAGGCTGTAAAAGCGTCGCCAGCGTCCCATTATGACTCGCAGATAAAACTCGCATAGAAATAAAAATAAAGAGCCGGCTGCTTTATTAAGCATAATGCGGCCATAAAGCCATTCGAGCCAATCGAGTGCCGGGTCTAAAGTCCTGCGTCCTACGTCCTGCTTCCTGCATCCTGCATCCTGCCTTCCAAAATTCGGTTTGGGTTGGGATGAGATTCGAATGCCGAGATGAGCACTCCGGCGCGCAAAAGGATTACGCCAAGGTATGGACAGCTCCTAATGATTGATGGGCCATTGCGGCCAATTCTTGGCGCTGGCTTTGTTTCGCCTCTATTGCATCCGTTGCTGCCATCCGTTGCTGCCACATCCACTGCTACTGCCACTGCCTGTGGCGCCTCTCAATAAGCCGAAGCCGTAGAAACCGTAAATCATGCTCCGTCCGTTGCGTGCCAAGTCATAAATACCACGGCGGACCCGCTCCTCCGCTTTTCGTGGCTCTAGTTCTTCTAAAGCGGCCTGCAGCTTTTTAATTAAGGCGCAGAGCTCCCAAAAAAAAAAAAACAACAATAGCGAAAGTCAAAATAAAAAGCTGGCGAATGTAACAAGTATTCATGACCTAAGGTAGCATTTAGTTGCCCTTTCAAATGTAGGATACGTGTTTTCTACGGAAAAAAATGTATAAAATTCAATTCATCAAATACTTTATTTTGTTAAAACAATTATTAATCTGGGATACTACGGAAATCTCTAGAGGTTTAAAAGCTCTTAAAAAGGTGTCAAAATGTATGCTATAAAATACAGTTCATTGTTTTTGAGTATAAAAAATGTAGTACTTTTTTCATGTAAAAGGTTTAACTTAAGATTATTGGTTACCTTTTCAACAGATTTAATTTAAGATTTTTAGTTACCTTTTCAACAGATTTAAGCTTCAAGGGATTTTTTAAATGGATACGCCGCCGAAATCTTGTTTATAATACATGCTGTAAAGAATATAAACCTTAGTAGTTCTAATTTTAAAACCCAATAAGACTTCATGGATCTGTTTTAGGAGCTATGATATTTTCAAGGGTTTCTGGTTTGCCAAGTGGTAAACCAAAGCTAACCTACCCCGTAGAAGGGAAGTTATCTGCAACATAAGCTGGAGGGGAATGGAGAGCGTGGCCGGAGTGGCAAGATCGGGAGTAGCAACCGGAGTCACAGCGGCGGAAAGACAAATGGCCAAGGCGCGAATTGTTTGACAACAACAACAACAACAACAGCAACAGCAACAACAACAACAACAATGGACTGCCGGGCACTGTCATCCATCAAAGCGACCTCGCGGGTAGCGAATTGCGGAGCGGGCAAATTGAAATGACTGCCATTGCAATTATCGCCTGAGCATCGCTTCCAAAACCCCCCGAATCCTCCGGAATCGCCCCGAATCCACAGGAATCCCCAGCTTCTCGGCCACCAAAGGCCATTTCCCGCTAGATTAGGCCCACTGACAATACATAACCGAATTAGCGCCACGGGGTCGCATTTTTATATGACAATTTTTTGGGGGTTTTCCCCCCAACCGTTCAAACAAAGAGAGCTTTCCCATTTTCCTGAACGGCTATTTTTTTTTAGATTTTTTCTTTTGCCTGCCAGTCATGCATCATTCCCGGCTGCAGCCTGTAATTTCGGCACATTTCGTCGGTCGTCCTAAGAACTCCAACTACGAATTCCAACTCCAACTCCGACTCCGGCAAACTCGACTCTAGTGGACTGCATCTTTTCGTCATGCAGCTAGATTTATGAACCTCCGGACTCGCTGTGCCTCCGGCCATTCTCGTCCCCGGCTCTATTGTAAATCATTTCCAAATTATTTAGTCGCACTCGCTTCATATATATATTCATATTTTTGGCGCCTTTGCTCGACGCCGTCGAATGTGGCACGTGATTGCGTTATAAATTACAAGCCATTGGACTCATATACTCCCTGCCCCCCGTTCCCCCATCCCCATCCCCCATGCCACATGCCACATCCACCATTCAGTGCCTCAAAGTCGCCTGCTGATAGTTAATGTGTTTCGGGTTCCGTACGAAATTTCGAATTATTTTCGAATCCATTTGATGACCCACTAGTCCACTATCCAATACCCCGGCGAATAGCAATCGAATCGGCTGACAGATGTCGCGTTTGCATGACTGCTACCAGTACGGTATAACTTCACTAAGAAGGAAGCAACTGAGAGAGGGTTTTAAGATAAAGAAAATATACAATTTTATTTCTGCAAGCAATTAAATCAAAATATGGGATTATAAACATTGTGATACGCAAATAGATAAAACCTTTTATAAGTTTGCTTAGTTATTATTATTTTGCTTATGTGGCATTTAACATATAGTATACTTTAATTTGTATTATATTTCTACTATAAAAACCCACAACTCTTTTGAAAAATTCTTGGTAAGGAATTCGGACTGCCAGAAGCAGATGTGTTGCATGTAATTTAATATTCATTATATGCACCATAAACGCTGTGGCACTATGATTGCATGATCTGTCAATCTGCCCAATTGCCAGGACTATCTCTCCACCTTCCCCCACTTTCCACCTTCCAGTGTTTTCCCCGTTTGGCTTTTCTGGGCGATAAAAACGAACGCGAAAAGTGCCGCTATCTATTAATATCGCTTTTGGCTTTTTCGCTGGCGGGTAGCTGGGTAACTGGTAACTGGTTTCTGTTGGTAGTTGGTAACTGGTAACTGGTAACTGGAAAAAGCTGGGAATGAAAAACGCTGAAAAGTCCTAACGAACGACACCTGCCCTCGGAAAAAGGGGGCAAAACCCCCCGAAACTTTTCTTCTTGCTGTTTGCATTGGTCGCCCCTTTTCCTTTTGGCGATACACTGCTGCTGCTCCTGCTGCTGCTGCTCCTGCTGCTGCTGCTGATGTTGCACGAATGTTGTAAATCAAAAGTAGGCGAGTCACACGAAGGGTCCCCCTCCCCCCCTCCCCCGGTGGTATCCCCAGTTTTTGCCCAGCGCCTCTGCTGCTGCGCCTATTTGACTGGCAGGCCGAGCGGATAACGCTGGCAATTATCGCGCTTGTGCCGCACGAAAAGCGGAAGCGGCAGAGGCGCCATCAAGTTACCCGGTCCGATTCACCCCCCACCACCCCCCACATCCCCAAAAACGTGCACACACCCCTCCTTTGTTCGCCGGCATCCTTCGCTTTCTTTATTTTCTTTGTGCAATCCAATTGGTAGCGCAGCAAACAAAGCAAAAACTCAGCTGAAAATAACAACAACCAGTCCGAGTACAAGTCCCCCGACAAAAATATGGTAAGAGGGCACGAGGAGAAGTGGCAAAAAAGATTCATACCTCCCCTCGCATTTGGCCGGGCACCTAGAACACCCCCTTCCGGTCAGTCAGTCAGTCATTGAAGTCATTTATTGCCACCAAAAGTTTTTCCCTGTTTGCCATACCCTGCAAAAGGTAATTACAGTTCCAGTAAGGGATATATTTTATATAAAGAATACCCTAAATCATATTTAGATTCCATATGAAATATCTACTTATTTAATAATATTGTTGTAAATCAATAGGAACTTTATTTGCAGATATATTATTTAAATTGAATTCTAATAATATACAAGAAAAAATTTAAATCCTCTTGATTATTATAAAAATATAGAGATTTTTAGCTTATAATCTTAAAACCATCCTGATTTCTGCATGTGCATTTTCAGGAATACTAAACTTTGTAAAAAGTAACAATTATAAATGTTTGTTTAGTGATTTTAAATGAAGTCTTTGAAATTAAATACCTGAAATATTTTATTAATACGTATTTAGTAATATCTTATATTTTGAATTAAAGAGTATTCAAATTTGATATTAGCAATAAGCGACATTCTTTCCTTTGGTTTTTACTCCCTGCCAACCGTACTTGTCTTTTGGAGCTGGAGCGGATCTGGACGACTCCTTTCCCGGGAAAGGAGGTCCGTTCCGTTTCACTCCATTCTCCGTCCTCCTTTCTCCGTTCCGTTTCGTGTGTGCAGGATATGTTTACAATTTGTGGACACGCCGACCGTCATTTGATTGCTCCCCTCTCGCTTGTCGAATTCTTTCTCGGTTAATTCGCCAGGTGGCTTTGGACTGCGCATTGCCTTCGCGGGGGCTGAGGGGGCGTGGCAAGGTGAGCGGAGCAAAAAGAATGGGGGGTTGGGGTAAGAAGGGGACAGGGGCTGCCATGATAAGCGGACCTCGTTTGTTTGCTCAGGAGCCGCACGGAAGATGACATGCCCGGGATGGCCCATAAATGAGACTGGCTAAGGCAAACAAGACCGGATACACAGGATATATGCAATCAAATAAACGCTGCCAAAACCGGAAAAGGGCAGAACGACTGCTATTTCTTACCCTAATCTGACCAAATCCACTACTTAACATACATATTTTTATTTACTCGTATGTACTATTTTCTAAATCATCACGGATTAATCCAAGCGACAAACAAAATTTGAATTTTAAACACAACAACCAAACGTAAGAATAAAACAAGACATGATATTTGCCAAAGAAGCATTTGAGTTCAGTTGCAAAGTTATCAGATAAGAAAATGTTTTTTTTTTTTTTTGGTGAAAACAATCAATAACAATTAATATTTTTGTTCATAGTTTTGTTTAAAATTTTTCCAATTCAAATTAACCCTTACGGCACTAAAAAATCTAGCTCACACTGTTAATAGCTGATAGCTACAAGACTTACATTTGAAACTACTTCATCAACTGATAATGAAAATAGATTTTTTATTTACAATAAACTAGCCGTAGAAAACTTGCTTAGTTTATACGTTCACTTAATTAGCATGCAGCCGCGTGACCTCTTAAACATTTTTATCTTGTGCTTGCGATTTGCCATTAATTTTCGGCTGCTCTACCGCCAAAAACACAACGCCGTTACAGCTGAACAGAGACGGCTTGGGACTCTTGAAACAGGCAAAAGCTGGCGTGTGTAACACCCGAGCAGCTGATTTTTATTTTGCACGCTATTTTTTTGTGTTTGAGATGGAAAACTGCGTTATTTGCGAGGAAAACCCACGCAAATATAAGTGTAGCAAGTGTTCGGCACCCTAGTAAGTAGCTCTAATAGATAATTTTGCTTATGGCTTATTTCAATACACAATTTCAGCTGTTCGGTGGCTTGTTATAAAACCCACAAGGATTCCCCGAAGTGTGTGATAAAGGAATCAGTCGGAAAAACAGTGGAAAATGCATTCCAGGAAGAGCCTACGCTGCATGTACCCTTCACCACCGATGACACTGTCCCCGCGGAAAAGCTCCATCAACTAGGTGTGTGTGCATACTTATTTTATATGGGTTTCCCAACGATTTTACCTCTGGTTTCAAATGCAGAAAACAGCCAAGATCTTCGCAACTTGCTCCACAATCCACATCTGCGTTCGCTACTCCAACAAATCGATGTGGCCATCAATGCCCAGTCTGCCATGATGGCCGCCATGCAGGAGCCACTCTTCTTGGAGTTCGCCAATGCCTGTCTCCAGGTCGTTGAACCCATTTCAGATGCCGAGAGGGCTGAAATCGAATTGTATTCCTAGAAAATCGTTAGCAAAACCAAGCTGCAAAAGTCTCAATAAAACCAGCTTTGTATTTTGTAACCAATACAGTTCAAAATCCTCTTCATGATCAGCTTGCCTTGCTTGTGAGCAAAAATCACAATAAGTTACAACATAGATTTAAACTTAAACTTAATAAAAACATATAGAAACTGGGTGGTAGTTGTAACTTATTTTTAGGTCCTTCTTGTGGAGCTTTAAAAATGGATGTTCTCCTTCCATTTTCCAATTCACTCGTGCGCCACTCTGCAACAAAAGAATTTAGCAACTAAAAGGGGATATACATATGTACTTTATAGTTCTTACCAAACATGTGCTATGACTCCAAAACACATTTAATAATTTGCTTCGTTTCTCGCCAATTTGCTGCGCTAAAAATGTATATTCGTCAAAACCAAATTGGCAACTGTGAAGATCTAGGATGTCACAACTCCTTGAACTAAGTATTAACAAAGTTAATATTCCCCTTTCATGAATTAAACAATTACTTAGATGTATTTCGTTAACATGTTCTAAGGTTGAAATAAGTATTGGATTAATTATTGCATTAACAAGCTTGAGCTCATTAATATGCAAAGTTTCGCTATTATTCATTTCATTCCATCTGTTAAGGTTAATTTCCAGAGTTTTGATGTTATTCCGTTTTAAAGAGTTTATCAATCGCTTTACATATGGCCAGTTATCAAAATTGCTAACAAGGAGCTGCTTTAAGTTGGAAAGGTATTGCAAATTGTTCAGAAACCATCTGTCCATTTCTTCTCTGTCACACTGCAGAAACTCCAGGTTTTTGATCCCCTCCAAGGGCAAATCAAGGGTGACATCTTCGATTTGATATCTGTCGAACACTTCCAACTTAAGAGTTTTTATATTTCTGGTTTTAAGGATGCAAATCAAGTTGCTGACCTCGAATTTGCCACAGAAGGACAGCGTTAGGTTCTCCAGGAATTGGAATTCATCAAAGTGTTTGCCAGTAAACATTCCGTGAGGACTAAAAGTTTTCAAATTAGGAAAACTTCTAATTAAATCTGATAAAACCGAATCATCCAAAGCAAATGAGTGTGTTGAGAAGCGAAAATCATAAAGATTGGGAAAAACAAACTGCGTAAGAACTTGTAAGTTTGATTTATCTTCCATCCTGAAGCGGAGAGCTTTGAGTGTTCGTTGGGTGCTTTCCAGAAAGAAACTAAGATCTTTTTCGCCGAGTTGCAATTCAATCAATGAGAGATTTATTGATTGACAACTAGACCGCCAGACACTTGGCATTATATCCAGGAAACGATGATGCAGTTTCGTCAACTCTAGTTGTGTTTTTAAAGTCAGGTATCCGCAAATCAGGATCAGGACATCGTCTGATAGAGAGAAAATTCCAGAGCTGTCCTTTAATTTAAAAGAAAATTGTTAAGTTTTGTTTTACATTGATATCTAAATAATTGGGTGCAAAAAAGTAGTGACTAAAAAAAGGCTTAAATTTTGATTTCAAAAATTTAAAAATTGAAAATGCCTAAGCCAATTAACAGACATTCGATACCACACTGTCAGCTGCGCTGTTATCTACCAGCAATGTACTGTTAGCCACTATCGAAAAACTGAGCCGGGCCGATATTATCGTTTGTCAGGCCGATGTTCTTGCAGCCTCTAGCAAGGCAGCAAAAAAAAAATAACAAATAATAATCCTCGGAGTTTTTATTTACAAACGAGCAAAACCCGCAAATAAAAGCAGGATGCAGAAGTACGACAAGATGGAGAAGATTGGTGAGGGCACCTACGGTACGGTTTTCAAGGGTCGCAACAGGGACACCATGGAAATTGTCGCCCTAAAGCGGGTGAGATTGGACGAGGACGACGAGGGCGTGCCCAGTTCCGCCCTCCGGGAAATCTGCCTCCTCAAGGTGATTCAGAGTACTGGGTATCAGGATCTTTATCTAAAATCAAATACTTTACCCTTCAAAACGCAGGAACTGAAGCACAAAAACATCGTTCGCCTCATTGACGTTCTGCATTCGGACAAGAAATTGACGTTGGTCTTCGAGCACTGCGACCAGGATCTTAAAAAGTACTTTGACAGCTTGAACGGCGAAATCGACATGGCCGTGTGCAGGAGCTTTATGCTCCAGCTGCTCCGCGGACTGGCTTTCTGCCACAGGTAGGATGCTTTCTTCGTTCCTTGTTTTAAACTTTAAATCTAACTTATTACTATCCCTATTTTAGCCACAACGTCCTGCATCGCGACTTGAAGCCACAAAACCTGCTAATCAATAAGAACGGCGAACTAAAGTTAGCTGACTTTGGTCTGGCTCGAGCTTTTGGCATTCCCGTGAAATGCTATTCTGCAGAAGTGGTGACGCTTTGGTACCGACCACCGGATGTCCTTTTCGGAGCTAAACTGTATACAACCAGCATCGACATGTGGTCGGCTGGATGCATTCTAGCGGAGCTTGCGGACGCTGGACGGCCGCTGTTTCCCGGATCCGATGTGCTGGACCAGTTGATGAAGATCTTCCGAGTGCTGGGCACCCCAAACGAGGACTCCTGGCCGGGAGTCTCGCACCTCTCCGACTACGTGGCGCTTCCATGTAAGGATTCCTAACTACTTTTTATGTTTTTATTCTGATATCTCCTCAATTTACGCAATAGCCTTTCCGGCCATCACCTCGTGGAGCCAACTTGTGCCCAGGCTGAATTCGAAGGGACGTGACCTGCTGCAAAAGCTGCTAGTCTGCCGGCCAAATCAACGGATTAGCGCCGAGGCCGCCATGCAGCATCCGTACTTCACGGACAGCAGCTCCTCTGGACATTAAGATTCAGTTGATTGGCATCTTTTCGAGTGACTTTTCCACGTACTTTTGATTAGATATACGCCGAACCCCTAACCTTGTGCAGCTATGAATGTGTAAAGTGTCCCCAAATCTACCTAGAATAAGATAAACTGTTCTTTATAATTATCTCTTTTTTGCCATTTTAAAACTCGATGTTGTCTCTCGGATACCAAAGAAAAACTAAAAGAGAAGTTGGTTAAAAGACAATCCCTGTGACACCTAATATAGCCATTTTAGCTGCCAAATTAATCGTTAACACTTTAACACTGGTTGATTTTTGCATATGTTAAAAGATCTCATTTTTTCTCTGGTTTTCAAAACATTTTGTTGCTAATTTAAGAATCCATTGGTTATGATCTGCAACTTGTTTCTTAATTGTTTCTTGAGTACACCCAAGTGTGATTTATCGGATACAAATACCTAAGATCCCAGTTTATGTTTTCAATTTTTATGGCTATCCAAACTTTCTGGTTTCAAAAGTGTTAGTGGATAACAGTTTAGACTTTTTTCTGATCGGCATAATTTTTAAACTAACGAAAATCTCTTTTTCCCATTAAAGTGGAACTGAGAGTAAGTCACATTAAGTAACTTAAGAATTAAAAATGGAGATGTACCATAGTTTTAGAAGAATAAAGAAGACGGCACTTACCGAATCAGTCGGCATGATGATACTTTTGGGGAGGTCTGTCCGCACCACAGTCACGTAATAGGGGTTAAAGTTTCGCTCTGCGCACACGCTAGTAAAGTTGAGAATTTGAGAGATATTTTTATTGTGCTAAGAATTGTTCCCCGAACCGGTCGCGTTTTTGCGTTTTGCGTTCCAAATCGCTCGGGACTTTTTTCTTATATTTAGACCGATAAGCAAACGCTAGGGGCGACCTGTGGATCGCTCGATATAGTGAATTTAATAAAACTGTGTTAAGTTCTCGTAAAATAAAACAGTTCACCCACCGGTTCTAAGGAAAGCAAGAAAGCACACGAAAATGACTTGGGGATTTGTGACCTGTGGTCCTAATGAGGCCTTAGTTGTCTCCGGTAAATAATACCATACCATATCAATACCTTACTACAAACGCATCCAATTAAAGATTCATTTATGAACTCAATTAATATAAATAAAATTGTCGCACATACACACCCCACCCTCAGTGACGTCACTATCGATTTTTGTGTATTTTGATTCGATAAGAAGAAGCAGTCCGAAGCCGTGCGCGCGCAGTTCTAACGGCGTAGCGATGCTGTAATCTTAATATTTTGTAAACAAAGTGTTTTCGGTTCGATTTTTTTGCAGGATGTTGCTATATGAAGCCGCTTCTGGTGCCGGGAGGACGTGCCTTTGTTTGGCCCACAATCCAGCAGGTGCAACGGTGGGTACTACTGACTTTTTACCAAGGATTCAAACCTAAAGCTATATCTGATAGGGTTACGTTAAAAAAATTTTGAAAACAAGCTGAGACCCTGGAAATTCTAAGCTGCCATTCAAAATTTTAGGTATTTTTATTTAAAAGAATATTATTTTTTAAATATCTATAAATATATTTCCACAGTTATCTTATCTGTAATTTGTCTATTAGACGTATAAAACGTATTACATTTATTCATAGTTTTTCAAAATGGTTTTAAATACTATTCGTTTTAAAAATGGTTTGAATCCCAACTGGCAAGATTTAAAGTTTCACTAAGCCGAATTTTGAATACTTTTGCAGAATTTCGCTGAACACCATGACCCTCCAGGTTGAGAGTCCTTGCGTGTACACCAGCCAAGGAGTTCCAATTTCCGTAACTGGAATTGCCCAGGTGAAGGTCCAGGGACAAAACGAGGACATGCTGCTCACGGCCTGTGAGCAGTTTTTGGGAAAAACGGAGGCCGAGATCAACCATATTGCCTTGGTCACCTTGGAAGGACACCAGCGCGCCATCATGGGTTCGATGACCGTGGAGGAGATCTACAAGGACCGCAAGAAGTTCAGCAAACAGGTGTTCGAGGTGGCCTCCAGCGATCTGGCCAACATGGGCATTACCGTGGTGTCCTACACCATCAAGGATTTGCGCGATGAGGAGGTGCGTAATTCGAATCAATTGATAAATCGCTACAATCCCCGCATAGCTAACCCAATCATTAGCAGTGATGGGAATAGTTGAAACGGATTAATACCTCAAAATGAAATCAATCTTCAATCACTAGGATTTTCCTTTAAATCAGGAATATAATTATAATTTTATTAAAAAATATATACATTTTAAAAGAGCGTTTAGCGTAGAGAACAAAGTGTTTTCAAAGTTGTAAGATAATTTTTTTGCAAAAGTTAAAAGTATCCTAGTTTATTTTAAATATATTTTTTGAGTATATACAATTTTAAAAACTTTTACAAAAGTCAAAAAATATAAATTCGCACGTGTATTATAGAATATTTTTTCCCATCACTGTGAAATGGCTTCAAGCCCTTTTATCCCAAGTAACCTCTTGTATATGTGTATATATATATTTCTTGCATGTCCACATGGATCCACGTAGGGCGACTCAAAGGTGCGTATGTCCACTCAACCGCCTCTGTCTGCAATCTTTGGTATCCTTACCCAGGTCTTAAATCTTTTTGGGACAAACTTAACACTGATTCGCTGCCTTTGATTTCCGTTTGCAGGGCTATCTGAAGTCATTGGGTATGGCTCGAACGGCGGAGGTGAAGCGAGATGCCCGAATCGGCGAGGCGGAGGCGCGAGCCGAGGCCCACATTAAGGAGGCCATTGCCGAGGAACAACGAATGGCAGCCAGGTTCCTCAACGACACCGACATTGCCAAGGCGCAGCGCGACTTTGAGCTGAAGAAGGCCGCCTACGACGTGGAGGTGCAGACCAAGAAGGCCGAGGCCGAGATGGCCTACGAGCTGCAGGCCGCCAAGACCAAGCAGCGCATCAAGGAGGAGCAAATGCAGGTCAAGGTGATCGAACGCACCCAGGAGATCGCCGTGCAGGAGCAGGAGATAATGCGCCGCGAGCGGGAGCTGGAGGCCACCGTCCGTCGTCCTGCCGAGGCCGAGAAATTCCGCATGGAGAAGCTGGCCGAGGCCAACAAGCAGCGCGTAGTCATGGAGGCCGAGGCAGAGGCCGAATCGGTTAGCGTACCATTAAAAATATCTGATTTGAAGTTCACTAAAGCTGTTCCTTTTTCAATTGCAGATCAAGATCCGTGGCGAGGCCGAGGCCTTCGCCATTGCGGCCAAGGCAAAGGCTGAGGCCGAGCAGATGGCCCAGAAGGCAGAGGCCTATCGCGAGTACCGCGAGGCTGCCATGGTGGAGATGCTCCTGGACACGCTGCCCAAGGTGAGTCGGGCATCAAGCATAACCAGACAATTAACCATTAAATATAATCCCTTTTGTCGCAGGTGGCCGCCGAGGTGGCTGCTCCATTGTCGCAGGCCAAGAAGATCACGATGGTGTCCAGCGGAACTGGCGATATCGGTGCCGCCAAGCTGACCGGCGAGGTCCTGTCGATCGTCAACAAAGTGCCAGAGCTGGTCAAGAATATAACCGGCGTGGACATTGCTCGGGTACGTTCCAATTCTGAATTTATCTAACTTCGAAGCTCGTCGAGAAGAAGGAAGACGAATGCGAAGGCTACCCAAACGAAACCAAAAACTAATGGCAATCAAAAGACTTTGTAGACAAGAGGACGCGGATTAAGTTGGCTTCCTTTGGTTTGATTTAAGACTTGATTTGCAATCTTGATTCCCTGATTTCGATTCACTTTACGTTTCCTTTCTCTTCATTTCAGTCTGTGCATGCTGGCTAAAAAAGAACCCAAAAAGAACACCAAATCAGAACACACAATTATGTAATCTTCAAAAAAATAATTTACGCAATATTGACGATCGAATACTTCAAAACTGAAATCGAACGCATTTAAACTTTGTTTGTGTATTTAACGGCATATTTAATATATTTACGAATCTTTGTGCTAACCCGACAAATTTTGCAACATGTTTTACACACACTCAGAGAGAGGAGCAGATATTTTGTATTCAATGTATATGTATTTATATAAGTGTATTGCACAAAACGTGGAATAAAAATTCTTCCTTGAATCAACAAATGGTGTTTTTATTTGAGTTTTCCTAGTTATATTGTGAATTATCTGTCACAGAAGAAAGTAGTTTATTATTACACGGATAAGCGAGGTAAGGTATTTTAAATTTAAATATCGTTAACGGTTTTGAATATTTTCCATCCCTAAACCTAGAATGTGGCCACACTAACGGCTGATTGCTTTTATTCTATGTGAAATTTTTGCTTGCGCAAGACGGTCTCACATTATTTTTTCTGTTTTTGTGCTCTCTTTTCTTCGTGAAATATTGCAATATAAAAATCGACAGCAAAAATCGAAATTATATAAAAACGGGGAAAAATCAAGCGAAACGAGAAAAGCGCGTTGAGGCGGGCAAGCAAATACTTGCACTTAAGGAACGGCGAAAAAGATGCAAGAACGGGAAAAACGTATTTACGCATTACGAAGCGAGTCGTTGGTTTGCCGTTTTTTTTGTTTTTATAATGCCAATATCGGGGTAGCTGCACCAAATGCAGTTAACAGAGATCTCTTGTGATGTAGGCAACACCAATACCATATGAAATAAACACCGATACCATTACTCTCTCCGCAATAACAACAACTAAGTGCAATCAACAATTAAACGAAATCAGAACAAAGAACTACCAGCAGCAGCAAAAACAACAAAAAACAAACGGTGGACTGAAGAGAAGGAGAAGTAAAAAGAGGAAGAAAAACAACAATAGCAGCAGACGACGCATAATTTCCTGCTCGCACACACACACACAAAGAGCGGGGGCCCAACAAAGAACATCGGAGGAGCGTGGGAGAGAGAGAACCAAGAAGCGAAAGGGAAAGAAAGAACTGCGGGGGAGCAAAACTGCATTTCTGGATTCGGATCTGGATTTCTGGATATATCCACGCGTAAAATGACCAATTCGGGACGCAATCATCATCGATACGACGTAAGTAATCCCTGTTATTTTACTTATGGGATCGCTTTACTTCTACAAGCCCTAAAAAGTGGTCTTGAGGTGGTATCCACTAAAATTTGCAACATTTTGTTGACCCTTTGACAATTAAATTTTAAACATTCTGGGTTGCTTGTGAATTAGTATTTTCATTTCCGACGGAGTTTATAGTCTCTTTAATTTAAGGAAATATTAAAATTATTTATGTTAATCATTTTGTTACTACATTTTATTATACATTTAAAACTGATTAAATATTAATTAACCAGAATCGTTAATAAACAGTTAAGGTCTTCAATGGTATTCTGAATTTTCAAAAGTGGAATTGCCAGAAATTGTTTTTGTTGTGATATCCTTAAATTTTTTAAGCATCAATCGCGCTGTTGCGCTTTTATTTGTTTGGCCATCCAGACAGTTAGTCAGCCACTTCCACTTCTCCGGATCCCGCAAACCCCTCCATTAAAATAGACTGAATCTCGTTCACTTTTATGGCAAAACGAGTTCTTTGTCCTGACTTTGAAGTCAGGAATAAGGAATACAGAGGGAAAGAAGCACAGGAGTCATCGCTTTTGTCGGAGCGACAGGGAGTTTGTCCAGCTTGTAAAAGTGTAAGTGGCTAATGCCTCACCCTCCCTCAAAAAATAATATGTTTGTCTTGCGACAAAAGTGCAATAAACTCGCTGACAACACACCCCCAAGCAATAACCCCCAGTGCCCCCACAAACACCCACACCAAGTCGCCAAACTCGGATAATGACCAGTTGCGAAGTGAGGACTTCTGACAAATTGGAAATTCTTCGGCAAGTGCAATGAGCACACAAAGCTAAGTAAATAAGCAAACATACAAGAAGCTCATGGGCGAAATTTACCAATTCGTTAGACACTGAGAAGAATATGGCTCTTTACAATACTTAAAGAATAGTAAATTCAATTCTTATTTTTTTAAGAAAAAGTATTTTGTATATTATTAATAACTAGTAGTTAAAATTCTTCTTCAATGATATAAATCATACTTAAAAACTATGTGGCAATTTTTTTCTGTGGACATGCGTTAATTGCTGGCAAAGAAAATAGAGGAAATGGAAACGAAGACTCATTTTAATTGCGTTCTCCTATGCTTTAATCGCACCGAATTGCTTATTTATTTTGGGGCTTACTGACTGTCCATTCTTGGTATTTGGTATTTAGAGTACTTAACTTATCTGTAACCCCAACGCGAAAGCCAATAACAAACGAAAGTAAACAGATTGCCCGATAAACAGCTGACGGGCAACATCACAGAGTCTGGCAGCACTGCAACCCTTGCAGATTTACCAATCTTACTGGAAGAGAACGGGGGAGAAAAAGGAGAGAGTGAGAGATGTAGTTCCTATTGGAAATACAGTCGACTCTCGTTAATTCAAACCTGCGATAATTCGAACCTCTCTATAAATCAAAGTTATCTCGAGGTCCCTACGAAATCTCTTTATATTTCGAACTAAATCAATACATTTTCATACACTTGGTAATTCGAACGAAAAAATCATTGATATTTAACAAAACCACGCGTTAATTCGAACTCATCAGCGTCTAACACTCGACAATTCGAAGTTGCAGAGAAAAAATTTTGCGACAAGTTCAAACTTGCCTTTGTTTTTGTTTTGATTATGTAGTTTTTGACGCACACACTTCTTACGAATTGGTTTGTGTAGTTATTCAGTTACTGTTACTCTTTCGTTGGTATGCATATTAAAAGTTAGTGTTAGCTATGAGCCCTAGAAAGTATAAAGAACCTTTGGCAGAGGTGTCAGTTAAGGAAGCAAGATCCTCATTTGATACCTTACAAAGCTTATGTCTACAAAACGAAACTGATAAAAAAGTATTTCAGGCACTTTTTCTCTTAAAAAAAGTTATTGAGCAGTGTGAGCAGCAGAATTGTGCTTTAAAGCAAGCCAGTATAACAAAGTTCTTTCGAAAATTTCGAACCATTTGATATTTCAAACACTCGATAATTCGAAATATTTCAAGAGTCCCTCGAGTTTCGAATTAACGAGAGTCGACTGTACCGGTACCCATTAACTTAAGGTATATGCTTTTTGACATCAGCTTAGATATTAAATTATAGTTTTTTTAAGGCATTTTTTTATATAGATATATTTATCGAGTATTGCCCTTTTTTCATTGATTTGTTATGACAAATTATTGTTAGAAAACCAGCTGTTATTGGGGCTTGTTTTGATGTTTACTTTCCTTATCAAAAACTTATTTTTTATGGTTGCTTGCTTTGGTTGAGTTGTCTTCCGAATGACCCTGCCCAAAAGTTCAAGTAGCGCTACAAGGGGCATCTAAAGTTCTTTAGTTTTGTTTGGACAGTGTCTCCATTCGCACTCTCTATTTCGGTTAAAGACTCGCTCTCATTGAGACCTTTTAGCCAGACTTTTGTTGTCGGCCTTTGTGTGGGTGCAATGCCCCGCCTCCTCGTTGCAATTTCCCGAGAGAGATATAGCGAGAGTGCTGTGGCCAGCTGTTTTTTCGAGCTTCGGCAGCGTTACGTTCTCGATTTCCCACTCAGTTTTCATTCTGCGCTCTGTTGTCATCGATGTTGTCTCGCGAAAACTGCAACTCTCCTTCGGTTTTCGTGTGTCGCGTTTCTGCATTTACACGGTTTTCCTCGCAGCTGAGGCAAAAACGAAAGAAAAATCCATTTCCCACAAATCCAGCTGAAAATATAAACAAATGGTAGGGCAAATGGTGTTTCAAATTTGCTGGCAAAGTTACAGAAAGTGTGTTTTGTGTTGTGCAGATTGCCGTTTTAGCTCTTTATTGCAGTTGTTTTTTCCCCTACCGTCATGTCATCAGCTGTTTTTTTGTTTTGTGTGTATATTGTTTGCCTGCTTTGAGATTTTTTGTTAGGGGCTTTAAAGACGGTCTGAGTTATTAATTCTTTTTGTGTTCGCCCCTTATAAATTCTATATTTATCGAGGGGAAAAAAAGCAGTGAATGCAACCCAATTTGGATGCTGACCCAGTTTTCCCTATTCGACGACCTTGCCTACATGCATGTATATAGCTTGTATACTATATACCAAAAAATATATAGAACGGAAGCAAGCTTGTCTGTCAGTGCTATCAACTCTCAACTGTTTGTTGCTTTTTTTTTTGTTTTTTTGTGGGCCAGCTGACCCGGCCATGGCTTATATAAAATGCAGCCCAGATTTGTTGTCATGTGGGCTGCATTTATACGATACATTCTCTATATTGTATATGCATTTATTCCTCTTTTTTGTCTCTCGAGGTCACTTGGAAAGTAAATGCCCGACTGGGAATTTTAAATTTGTTTACTTTTTTCCACACGCACCAGCCGCCCACTTTTCCACCCTGTTTTGCTCTTTTATTTTTGTCAGCTGTTTTAGTTTAGTTACGTATACGCCATGTGTTGCATGATCAAATAAATAATAAACTATGCAAAACGCAGCAATCAAGTGAAATACCTTGCACTTGTCGCTTCTATCACTTAAAACGAATTGAGTTGAAACTACATATTTGGGTTCTCAGCTGCACTTGAATTTGCATAAGTACGTGCGAAAGATATAGCGCCTTGGATGCATTATAAACTTGGGGCCAAAATAATGAGAGTGGTTGGTATAAAAATTGCTTAAGATAACTCATATTTAGAGCAATTTATTTTATACTTAATCACTAAGAAAAGCTAACCATATAAAAATAATTTTAAGAACAGAAAAACAAATTCTATACTGAGCTAAAAATATTGTTGTTTGATTTTCTTTAGCTTCTATTTTTTTGGCCGCGACTGTATATGAGAGCCTCCATTGTTCGCCCTGATTGTATTCAGGCCACTTTAAGTGTTTTTGTCATAAATTGATATTAGTTTGCCATCCTTTAATGGTCTAATTGAATATGAACATATGAATATTCCCATGTATTTATTTCAACTCCTATTCTAGCCAAAGATCTGTTGCAATCAATAATTTATTGGACCTTCAATCGCTTTATTTGAATCTCATACATATGAATGCCTTTTCACAATTGTGAAAACAGCAATTTTATAACTGACATGTATTGTGTTCATAGTGCTTCTGTAATTGTTGTGCCATTTACAGTACTTCTGACAAAGAAAGGAATTTGTATTGTTAAGTTAACTTTTTGTTTACTCTGCTATGGGAAGTTTTTTCAGCTTTTTCTGTTCCAGATTATCTTGAGATTTTTGTTTTACATTAAACGAAGAAGTATTTTTTTTTAATTTTTGCAAAGCTGGTTACAAATCTCTTTAAAAATTCAATATACCCCTATGGCTTTAGAAGTATTTCTTTCAGTTATCAATTCAGTCTTGTGTTATTGTCATTATTATTTATACACACTTATTTCTTGTTCCGCTTTGCTCAAATTCGTCACACGTTCGATCGATTGCCTTTTTTAAATTGCCGTTGATGACTTTTCATTTAAGTTGAATGCCACCAAAGAGGTTCGTGGGTGGCAAGGGGGGATGATGTCCACCGAAAAGCTTAAAGTTGGGTGCGCATTTCAATTAAGGCACGCCCGCAACCTTGATGTCCGAAACTCTGTTTTTTAATAATGTGTGTGTACCCCCAACGAAATGTCTCGTAATAAATTCCGCTGTTGTTCTATTTTCCACGTGCAAAACGACACCGCTTAACTCGGAAATATTAACCAGTTCCTGCTCCAATAAGTGATTTAAAAATAATAAAAAAAAAAAAAATAAAAAATCCGAAAACAAGCTGGGCCAAAAATAAGCAGAAGAGTCGAGCCAAAAGACGCCGGGAGCAACGTATTGAAGACGCAATTTGTGAATAATTTAATCGAGCGTTCACACGGCGCCAGCTGACAAAATAAAGAAGAGAGTGCTGAAGAGTTAATTGAATCGGCAGAGGCGACAGACAGTTGCAGATAAGAAGAACCGGGAATGTTTGCCAGCGCCACCGGGACGGGCGTCGTCGACGTCGGCAGCGGCAGCGGCGTTGGCGGCGGCAGCGGAGGCGGAGGAGGTGGGAGTAGCAATGCCGGCAGCATCAGCGGAAGCGCCAGCTTTAGCAGCAACAGTGGAGCCAGCGGCAGCAGCAGTCAGACGCACAGTACCGCCGTTAGTAGCGCCACAGATCGCAGCAGCAGCAGCAACAGCAGCAGCAGCAACATCAACAACAACAATAACAACAACAACAATCACAATCCGAGCTTACAACTAAACGGTAATGCGAGCAGCAACAGCAACAGCAGCAACATTAGTGGCGCCAACAACGGCAACAACAATAATCACAGCGGCAACATCATCAGCGGATTTTGCAGCACCATTTGGCGTTCGGCAACATTTGGTAGCGCCACGCCCGTTATCAACCAACTACCAGCTGTGCATATTAACCCCAAAAGTATGGAGAGCAGCAGCGATAGTTGCTCGCTGAGCTCGTCGATAACGCCAGAGGTTTGCCTAGCCGATCACCAAAGGACTTTGGTCGCCAGCACTCAAGATAAGCCAGAGGATCAGTCCGTAAGAAAAACCCAGAAAAACCATATAAAAAAAAAAAAACAAAAACAAAAAACAGAAGATAAACACCAGATCAAGTTCAAGCATTAACAAATTGCCCATCGTTACCACCTTCAGCGGTCGTTTAAATATCATCTTATTCCAGCATTTTGTACATATTGCCCGACCAAAACCAAACCACTCCACTCCTTAAATCGCTCTGTCTCTATTTCGCTCTCTCTCCTTCTCTCTTACTCTCTCTGTCGTCTTAGATTCCTCCTCCATTAATTAATTTGTTTTTGTTCAATTCAATCTATATTGGTTTTCATTAGTTTTGGAACCACTTGAGGAATCAGCCAGTTGATTTTGTTTAGCCATCACATTCTCCAATTGGGAAACTTCACAGCCTTCATCGAAATATGTGTGTTCACTTTAAATTCCATCACTCATCCGCCATGTTGTGCCCGTTTCAGCAAACATTCCTAGGCGCCACCGAACTGGACGATGAGTTAATCAAACAACTGCCAAAGGAGGTACTGCTGCGCGTCTTCTCCTATCTGGATGTTGTCTCACTATGCCGCTGTGCTCAGGTAAATGAACTGCGGCTCCGAGTTAAACGGTCGCTTTTCCTTCACTAATGAATTTTTCATGCTACAGGTATGCAAATATTGGAACGTGCTGGCCCTCGACGGTTCCAGCTGGCAGAAAATCAATCTATTCGACTTTCAACGTGATATCGAGGTGAGCCTGGGGCATCGTTTTCGGATAACGAAAGCCACGAGCAAATTCCAGAATTTTAATTTGGTCCATTAAAGTGTTGGGTTCATGTTTATAATTCAAATAGATCTTATTTTTTACTAAGCTTTAACCGAAACCCAAAACCTAATCTAAAACTAAAGTAATAATTTTATGTAAACAGGGTCCGGTGATTGAGAATATATCGCAGCGATGTCGCGGTTTCCTCAAGTCGCTGTCGCTGCGTGGCTGCCAATCGGTGGGAGATCAGTCCGTGAGGTGAGTCTTTATAGCGAAAACCCTCACAAAACATCGGTTAATATAAAATCTTAATATTACAGAACTCTAGCGAATCACTGCCACAATATTGAACACTTGGATCTGTCAGAGTGCAAGAAGATAACCGATATATCCACACAGTCCATCAGCAGGTTTTGCTCCAAATTAACGGCCATTAATTTGCACTCGTGCTCCAACATAACAGACAACAGCTTGAAGTATATATCCGATGGCTGTCCAGTAGGTTTACTTGAATACCCAAATTACCAAATAAGCATACTTTATCGGGTTGTTGTGTCCGCAGAACCTAATGGAGATCAACGTGTCCTGGTGCCACCTGATCTCCGAGAATGGCGTGGAGGCGCTGGCCCGCGGCTGCGTCAAACTGCGCAAGTTCAGCAGTAAAGGTTGTAAACAGATTAACGACAATGCCATATTGTGCCTGGCCAAATACTGTCCCGATTTAATGGTGCTAAATCTACACAGCTGTGAGGTGACTATAAATCAATCAATCGTTTACATGGAACTATATATTTATAGTTGATTTTTTTTGTAAAATCACAGACCATAACCGACTCATCAATACGCCAACTGGCCGCTAATTGCCACAAGCTGCAGAAGCTATGCGTGTCCAAGTGCGCCGATCTCACCGATCTCACGTTGTTGTCGCTCTCGCAGCACAATCATCTACTGAACACCCTGGAGGTGTCGGGGTGTCGCAACTTCACGGACATCGGTTTCCAGGCGCTCGGGCGGAACTGCAAGTATTTAGAGAGGATGGATTTGGAGGAGTGCAGCCAGATAACGGACCTCACGCTGGCTCATCTTGCCACCGGTTGTCCAAGCTTGGAGAAATTGGTAGGCCTGTTCCCCCCGATTCCATCTGAAGAGAATCTTATTTCCTATTAACTATTTAACAGACCCTCTCGCATTGTGAGCTGATTACGGATGATGGCATACGACACCTCACCACTGGCAGCTGTGCCGCGGAGATTTTGTCCGTGCTGGAGCTGGACAACTGTCCCCTGATCACGGACCGAACGCTTGAGCATTTGGTGTCCTGCCACAATCTGCAGCGCATCGAGTTATTCGACTGTCAGCTTATCACCCGCACCGCCATACGCAAGCTGAAGGTACGAAATATATAATTGGTTGATTAATTCCAATGAATTCTAATGTGTGTGCTTGCAGAACCATTTACCAAATATCAAGGTGCATGCCTACTTTGCGCCTGGAACTCCGCCGGCGGTCACCAGCGGCCACCGACCACGCTACTGCCGCTGCTGTGAGATTCTCTGAGATACGGCCATTGGCTTCGCCAGGAAGATAATGCGCAAGACGGCCACGGACTGATGCTGGCCCGTGTGCATCGTCATGTTCGCCATGGTGTTCAGCCTGACCCTCGTCTCAATGATCTGTATGTACTTGCTGGGCCTCCTCGACGCGGCATTGTCCACAAGGCCACCACAATTTGATTCGGATCCAGATCACGAGCAGTAACAGCAACATCAGCATTAGCAGCAAACAGCAGCGGCTAGAACGAAACCGAAACCGAAACCGAAACCTAACCCTAGTTTTAGTTTTGAGCGAGTTTCAAAAACTCGCAGAAACCAGCATCAAATTGTGATTATTTTATTTAATATGCTACGTTAACTAGACCCTTATTTGTGTAATCAGTACTAGCCCCTCACGCTCTATGTTTGTTATTATCTGCAGCCCGATGAATTGCTAGCTTATATAGGACCTGTATATATAAATGTATGTAGACGTGCAACCCGATCCGCGGGTATGTTCTGTGTCTAGCCTAGAAACTGCAATTATGTGCGTTTAGTTTTTAACTCTTATACACGCATGCCTGTATTAAATGTTTGCTAAATTATGACTAAATTATAAATCCATTTGGAGCATGCTCGGATTTTATCTCTCACTGGTCCCACAAAACAAAAATGAAATCTGGAGTTTTCCAAATTCCGAAAAATGTCGATAGAACCACAAAGCGTTCAAAACACCTAATATCCGAGGTACGATAATTTCACTATTGATCCACTCAAGTATAGTGCCAGCTAAAAACTGTTCAGCAATTATCATTATCTATGTATAGCCATGTATATTCAACAACGAACAAACGACTCACACACTGGATCATCCTTCCTGAAACACAAACAGTACCCACATAAATAATTCAATAAATCTATATACACCCTCTGGACTCACACAGATATTTATACAGACTATTTTGTAATGTATTATCCGATGAAAAATGTATAAACGGGGGGGAAAGGAAAGTTATCGTTAGTCCCCGCGATAAGCACACAGCTTGGGCCACCGCAACTAAGTAGATAATGTAGGATTTTCACAACTGAAAGGTTTCCTTATCTCCAGCAGAACTATGAATGTATATCCAATCCTCGAGAGAGATCCAAACCGAACCGAACCCAAGTTGTGGGCTGGGGAATAGGATAAACGATGGCGTGACAATAACAGGCCACGACCGCCCCCTTTTATTCCAGTGTATCCCCACATAATTAACCCCTGGACACACACAAGATAAGCACAATAAACGCTAAACGAAACCAGATGAGATATTTTCCTGATTAATTTTATTCTCTCTAAACGGTTAAGCTAAGCAAATGGTGTCATACAAACTTACATGCATAAAACCTACCATATATTTTCCTAGACATTAAATTAATAAAGAAGTCAAAATCATATTTACACAAATGAAAGAAAAGCAAAATGATAAAACAAGAGTTGTAAGTTGCGTATTTTAACGGATCTTTATGTCTGTCTCTTGTAGTGAGTTTCAACTTTGATTTAAAACAATGTTCAACAAGAAATCAACTAAAATCACAACTGATATGTATTAATTAGAGTTAGAGTTAAAGAAAAAAAAGCAGAAGATATATACATACATATATATATGGAAAATTGCCGTACAGCGCAATCAAGTTCCGTACCACACAAAAAATAACTTTTGGTTCAACAAAATTTACATTTAAAAGGAGAATTAAATATTATATACACCTCTATATATATATATGTATTACATAAAGGCTTTACAATGCAGACTTATATATTTACATCATATGTACGTGTGTAGTTTTGCAAACAAAAACTAATAACAGAAAAGAAAACACTCGAAAATTAACAGAAATTGATATGGCAAAACCAAAAATATGACGTTTTAAACTGAACAACGTTTAACATAAACAATATTTTAAATATCAAGGGTTCATGTGTTTTATTTGAAATAATTTTTTTGGGATCATATGCACATATTATAGGTATTTTAATTAAAAAACAAGATAAATTTGTTTTTTTTTTTTTTAATAGTGGATGTAGAAAAAAAACTTTTGAAGAATTGGAAAATTATACAGATCCCAAGCTTAAATTATATTTTTATGGCAACAAATTTCAATCCGCTTTCGTGTCATAAAGCTTAGTCTAGCATTTTCGCCGAGGCGTAGTACGGCCACACTTTCCCGCCCACAGCTGGTCTGGTCTCACAGTCTCACCTCACAGTTGTTTTGTTGGGAAAAAATAAACAATAATTTAGCTGGCCGTTGTGCGCGAAAATAAAGTGGAAATTATGCGAATCTCGACAGCGAAAGGGCAACGCGATGCTGGCAATGAAAGTGTAGGCGTGGCCTTTTCGGTTTTTCCAGCTTTTCCGCATTCGTGCACCTGTGCTGGCATTTACACCGATTTTTTCGCCTGTGGAGCTGCAATGGCGACCGAGCTGAGAACGATCAATTCCGGTAAATAGAAAGCAATCAAGGATAAAGAGGGTTGAGGAGAGTGAAGAGGAAGAGAGCAGCAGTACGTGGTTGCAGTCGAAAATATCGAAAAAGAACCGTTTTACCCGTTATAGAAGAGTTCATAAAAGCGAATAAGAGTGTGAAAAGGCACTGAAAAGTGGCATAGCTTCGGTTATATAAAAAGTTTATATATAAATCAAGTGCCACGGAAATGCAGTCTTGCAAAAATCAAAAATAAATCAATGATATAGACGCGAAATCCAGTAAAAAGAAGAAGCAGCAGCAACACAGCTGAGTGCGTGTGTAGGCGCTGTTTTCAAGTGTGAGTGTCTGTTGTGAGCAAGTGAAATCAATAATATTTGCAGCCAAAAAATTAAGAAACTGCAAAAATGTCGAAAAATCTAATTGAGGCAACAAATTAGCACAGCCATAAATCCAGGCTGCACTGTGCGAAAATTGTGCCTTTTAACGGATCTTCTGCTGCAAAGCAAAAGAAGGTAAGTCGGCCATTTTTATTGCAAGCTCCTCATATCTCTCTTCGCTTTTGGTTAATAAAACAAAGCTTGCAAATTGCGTTTAATTGCCTTGAACTTTATGCGGGGTCTATAATATTTCATCAGTTATTTGTATGGAGTCTTTCGTTAGAACGCTGCGTTTTGAAGCGGAGCTTGAAACTGGAAATGCGGGGAGTTGGGTAAACAAAGCAAGCAAGTCGATACCCCCTATGTATTTAACGTGCACTTAGGAAATTAAGAATAAGGAATTAAAAATATATGGATAAAAAGTTCTTAACGCTTTAAGTGCAACTATAATCCGGCACAAAAAGCATATCAAGCACTTGATCTATGTATACTTTATTTATAAAAAATAACTATAATAGTTCTTAGTGTATTGACTTTTGTGTCGACATGTGTGTGCATTCTTCGTTCATTCTCTGTATGGTCAAAGTAAATAATTTCAATTCACGTTCCACTGCCTTCGCTTCAATATTTATTTGTCGTTTCTTTTGCCCCTACTTTCCCCACCCCGCTCTCTCTTAATCAGCTGTGCTCATGTGTGTGTACGAAAGAGAGGGAGGAAGAGCAGACAAAGAAACGGTTAGCGTCGACTTTGCTGTATCCTTGAATTCATTTCGTTTTGTTTCCTATTCCTTTTTTGCGCAAGTGAAACAGACAACAAAGAAAATCAGATTTAAAAGGTTGACAGTTTGAGTTTTCTTTCTCATCCATATTGATTTAATATTTGCATTGATTTGTGTAAATGATAGCCAAAAGCAGACTGCTTACATAAGCAATTAGCTGTTGGGATTTCGCTGCCAAGTGCGCATTACATCCGCAAAATCTTGGCAGACGGGTTAAAGATGTTGTACTGTAAGCGGACTAACGGTTGTCGGTGCCCTGTCATTTCTCCTTTCTTCGTTGGCGGCCATATTAAACTTGCAGATCAAAGGCGATGCGAGAAGTAGAGAAAAGGAAGAATGGGTTGGGTTCCTTGTACTTTGTACATATGTATATGTATATGTATGTACATACATACATATGTACATATGTTTTTATAGAGTTGAAACTTTTCTATATATTTCTTTGGCTTTAATATGTTTGTTAATGCTTTCAATATATTCTTGTCAAAATCAGAATTATTTTGATTAGTTAAAAAACCAACAGTTTACTCCATGTGACAAACTTAATTAACAATTATTGGGAGTTAGGTTATTATTTTCGTGAGAATGTATAAAACGTAATGTTAAAATTATTTCCTAGTATCCCGCATCCATATACCAGCATATAATATTTTAATGAAATAACTAATAGTGCTTATGATATGTTTTAAACACTATATGAGTCACAAACCTTCTTCATAATAATCTTGCAAACCACATGATCTTAATACAGAATTGACTTCCAAGTTAAACTCTGTATTTCACAAGTCAGTCTTGTTATTCCCCAATTAAATGTGTCAGCAAATAAGCACACTCACCCAAGGGAAGGACAAAGTAAAGCCCCCTGCGTGTCTGGGCGTTTTTATGGTTTTCCATGCTGTTAATGGAAGCCATAAGTGTTATTGTACCCTCTACTCCACCTCCACGCAGTTCTCGGGTTGAACTTTCGCCGATAACAAAAAACCTAGAAAACCCGCAGGCTTATCTCGAAGTCACCTAAATTTGTTGTTTGCTTTTCTGTTTTGTAACTCCTTCGATGCTGTTTCATTTATTAGTATTTATTATATATTTACGGTACGTAGTTATGCAGCGGTTCGAGATAACCCGTTTCGAAAAACCGAAACCGAGACCTTAGATAATAACGTCTATCTCAGTTCCTGGGGTTATTGCATTACAATTCAGGGTCGTATATCATATTAGGTCTTGGGTTGATAACGAACGACAAGAACGGTTACTGTTCTTAACTACTCCCTTTGTTGGCTTGCTCGCTTCTCTGAATGAGTTTTATTGAACATATCCTGGTTTTTTTTCTGGGGGCGGTAATCCACTTGGCATCATTAAAACACAAAGAAATAATTTTGTGACAGCGAATTTTTATAAGGCTACCAAGTGGGACTTTCTAACGACTTAAGAAATACTTATAACTTTTAACAACTAATTATGGTAAAATGTATTATTAATAAAACCTTTGTTTAAAACATTTAGAAACTTCCTGAGGGAGAAAGAACACTTCTTTCCACGTGAATTATTTTTTGGAATCAACTACGCATTATAGGTATTTTCAAAATTCGCTTGAAGAGAATAGCAAAAAGGGGGCGAGATGTCAGTGAGTATGAGAGTGGGAGAGAGTGTGATAGAGAGAGAGCGAGCGAGAGAGTGGCTAACGCTCAGTGACCCCAACATTTCAGCCGTTGACTTTTTCCGTTCCCGTTCCGTTGTTTTTGCTACTGTTGTTGTTGCTACTGCTCCTTCCCCGCTTTTGCGTTTTATTTTACGTTATTTTGTTTGTCGGGTTGAATGACTCTGGGACAACAACAATAACAACAAGACAAATCCAAAAGTAACAACAATTTTGGGGGGCAGTCACTCTCTCAACTCAAAAAGAAAGAGAGATGTAAAGCCAACGAACCCACCAAAATTTTCAACAGCTGATGGGCTTGGGAGGTAAAAATCAAGAGTTTTTTGGGGGGAAGGTCGGTATGTGTATGTCTCGTCTGGAAATCACTCTTCCCTCTTCCGAATATTTGATTTACTTTGTTTCTAGAATCAGAGGGTTGATGTAGACAAACGCGGGGTAGAAAGTCTGTGGGGACAAGCAAAAAACATTGTTTTGATTGATATTCCGTGCAATGGCTTTGATGGAATTTGCATTTCTTTCAATTCCCCACTTTATCGCTTTAATCAATGTGAAGAAAAAACAAACAAAAATCATTTTCCATATGAATTCTCTAAGTTGCCAACAAAAGCGCTTTGTTTAGATTTTTTTCTGCTTTGGCGAATTTACAAAAATAAACAGCATGTAGTCATCGCATGATTTTGGGATTGGTGGCAGAGTTGGGGGGACAACGAGTCTTTGGTTGTTTCCATTTTGTAAATATTCTATTCCATTTAGATGCCTAATTGCGTCATGACACGCTTCTATATGAGTAAAAACATAACATTGTAATACAAATTTGTTGGTGGTCTAAATAAAAAAAATTAGATAATATCAGACAAACAGAATAAAAGTTCTACCCCTCCTTTTTTTTTGTGACTCCTTGAAAGGCAACAGCGGAATTTTCTTTACTTCCTGTCGCTAATAATAATTAATTGCTTACAATACGCAATTCTTTATACTCCTGGTGAAAACCAGATTTATTTTTGGTTCTATCCTTTTTTTTTTATCTAGAAATGGTGAATCCCTATCTCGACAAGGCAATTAACTAAAACTTACTTGTGTTGATAGCCTTCAATTATTCACGCCGTTTGTTGTTCAAATGTCTGCCTGCTATCTGAGTCAGATTATCAAAGTGCTGGGTCATCGGCCATCTATATATTGTTCGACAACCGTCACCCCGTTTTCCAATCACTCCCACAATCAACTCCTAAAATGGCCGCCACACTTGGCTTTGATGTCGCAGCTGTCTACGCTCTCAACCTTAAACTTTCCGCCTTTCCGTGGAAAGCTCATTACAGTGGCACCTCGTTCGCCAGTTTTCCCTCTTCCGTCGCCATTCTGTTTTCCCCTCGCTCACCTGGCGAGTCAATCACAGTCACGTGTGGGCCAAATTACAAGAACAGCTGTGTTGGTGTGCCGGAAAACACGACGGAAAACACACGGCAGACACAAAGAGCTAAAATAATCGGAAAATAGACACTGCCAAGGGTTGAACAGTGGGTATCGGGTTTGCGAATACAGCTTTTTTAAACCGACATATCTAGACAAGCAACATTCCTAACCAATATTTACTGTACAATGCACACGCGTTATATGAACTGCCCTTAGCCGTTCTTGTGTAAGCGTTCGTCTGCCTTGAAGTCTATATTTGCTTGCAATCAACCCAAGGTTTTTCCAAGGGTCTTAAAAACTCGAAACTTTTCAACTGCGTTCTTAACATTTTCGCAATTGCTGGGGCAGCAAAATGTTCTATAATTTATAAATTATGGTAAACAAACAAACACATCCATTTTTTTTGTAGATTGACACAAAGTAAAAGGCATTTTAGTGCACACTTTGTATTATACAGTGATGATTTTATTACTTTAAATTTCGTTATATTTTTTTTACAAAAATAACGGCTTAAAATGTGTAATTATGTGTAAGTTAAGTTTCTCATATTTTTCTGTAATTATAGTATGTATAATATTATATTGTATATAAAATTTAAATTGTTTTATGGAGAGCGCTCTGTATAGGTGTTAGTTTTTTTTTCTTGCAGGCTGCTTTGCTTTCATAAGGTTTTTAACCGTTTTATTATCAAAACAGCTGATCGACGCAATTAAGTGTGTGTTTGTATCTGTGTGTTGAAAACAACTGCGCATATAAAAAGCGGAAGACGGAGAGAGAGAGAGAGAGAGAGCTGGCCCTTTTGTATATCAACAGGGTGAAAGAGAGAGAGATCGTATTAAGCTGAAACAGCATTTTAATTCGGCAAAAGTGTTAGTAAAGAAATTAACAATTAAGTCAAACTATTCCACACAAATTTATTCGCACACTTGCACGTTTCTCGAATTCCATTATAATTAAAATTTAGCGAAGAAAGCCAGACGTCAATCAGTGGAACTTTTCAAGCTTTAAAACCAGAGAGCAGAAAAAAAAAATCAAAAATAAAAGGCAAACCAAAATCCCAGAAAAAAACATTTACGCCCAAGGGCTTTTGTGATCTCATCTTCAATTTATGTAAAGCCCCCTCAGCGATGTTTGGTGCGTGGAAAATTTTTATTTTGAGCATGACTTTCCATCAGAAATATGGCAGTATCTACCTGTAACCGAAGTTCCCTTACTTTTATTTGTACTCGCGCGAGGTATAGAGAAGTGGAAAAGGAAACAGTAAATATTTGTCTCAAACTTGTTATCTGGTTGGGAAAAAAATTAGAAATGTCTTGCCCAAAAACGAGAGGAAAACCGAAAGAATTGGTTGATCGATAGAGTGCTAATCGGTCCACGAGGTTTCTCGATCAATTAATGACGACATCTTAAAAAAAATTCCAACTGACACCGACAGACATCAAATTTATCAGTTACAAACAATGCTCATATAATTTGTAAATATTTAAAAAGGTTACATTATTAATTCCCTTATTAAAATACCTGGGTATTAACACATAATAGAAAAATACAAAGCTGGATTTAAGAAACATTTGTTATGCTTTTTCTTTGTCTGGACAAAGAGGGGTCATCGGCAGTTTCTTGTTTTCCTGTTTGGCCAGGATGGAGAGCGAAGAGGGTCCCTCCCAGACCACAGACTTCTTGGGTCTGGTCTTCGCTTTCGCATTGGCCGAAGCATTTCTTTGTCTGGCTGCCTGATTCTTTGTTGTCGCCGTGTATCCGTGTATCCGTGTATCTGAGTATCCTTCGGCTCCAGCAAGTTGGGTTATTCGAGTTCACTTCTTCGCTTTTTTCTGCAGACAGACGACTGACAAGTATCTGTGAATATAGATGTGTGTCGTCTGCGATTGTGTCTGCTGCACCTACAGTGGGTAAAGGTTACGAGAAACTTGAAAATTGAAGCGAATTTCATATACAATTTTAATGGCAATCAGTAGATTTAGTTAACATAACCCCCAGGACGCTTTTACTATATAGCTAATCTAATAAACAAAAGAAATTATCCTGCAAAACTGTTTAGCTTGACGTGTGGCAAATCTTTCAGAAACAATACAAGTACCGAATCATATCAGCAAGTTAAGAAGAGAAGCAGAATACCAAATGTATGAATGTGTGGGTGTTCTGCTGATAAGATTCGCATCGTAGGAGAACAGAGGAAATGAAAGACAAAGATAGGCGGAATAAGAAAGAGAGGGAGTGCAGGCAAACATAAATTCGGAATTTTGTTGGTGTTGTCTGGGTCGCTGACGATTTTTGGGGCTTGCTATATACGGATATATAATCGCACATACTCATATACTTTGAAAGCGCATGCGTTGTTGTTGTTGTTTTTTGGTGCTCCACCTCATCTTCTTCTTCTTTAAGAAATCTGCCAACAAGTACCCAAGTTGTATATATACTATATATCGCTATATACATATACACGAACCAACAGCTATTTTCGTACATAAGGCAAAACAACACTCGACAACATGGCATCTCGAACATATGGAAACGGGTTCTCTATCTCTGTCTTTTTCTTTTTTTTTTGTTTTGTTTAATCTACACGTGCGTGCATTTGTATTTGTGTTTTCTGTATCTGTGAGTGGCTTTTGTTATTGAATCGCTATCGCAACAATTGCTCTTGCCCCACTAAAATGAATAAATTCATGGTGGTAATATGTTTCATAACCACAGATAAAATGCTAAAATGTCAAAAAAAAAAATTTTGTGTCTTCCGTAAATTTCAATTTTACAATTTACAGTCTCTAGTAATGGAAAAAATGGGTGACTGTGTTTGCATAAATTTGTCATAACAGAGTGCTTACTGTAATTATAATTTGGCTTGAGCGTCTTACCTAGCCTAGTAAATGCCTGGTCATATGGGTTTATTTGTTTTTTTTTTTCGACTGGTTGCTTTGGTGTTGGTGAGCTCCATATGATTTTTGTGTACATTTTTGGCCTGCGCAGCGGCAACATGTTGCTATTGGGACAGTCAGCAACATGTTGCAACACAAATAAACCCACAAAAACTAGTCGAATATACGACGTAGTTTCCCCGCAACAGAGGGGTCTGTATATAGTATATAAACATACATAGTATATATATAAACAAAGCGCTGCTGGCTGCTCAGCTGTTTTAGAAAGTTGCCGTCAGCAGCAGCGAACGGTTCGCAGCGCTTGGCTCCGCTCATTTTTTTCCATTCATTTCATTTCGAGACGTCGAGGCGAACACACGCGTCACAAAATCCAGAAAATTAAAGCAAGAGCTGCAGGAGGAATTATAACGAATATATTTTTTCCCAGTGTGCGCGCGTGTGTGTGAAGTGCAGAGACTCTCCGAAAGAAATACGAAAGCGAAAAATAAAGGCCAAAAAATCTAAGCAAACAAGTTTGTTTGGCTAATATTAAAAACGCGTTTACCTGCGAAACTCGGACTGTATAAGCCCCATTTCAAGTATATACGCGCTGTTCAAAAGCGTTGAGAATTCAAATGCAGCTAAGCGAACGCCCAAAAAAATGTGGCCACTGCCATTATTTCAACCTCAGGACTAGAAGCAAATTGTTTCAACAAAATCAAAGGCGACAAAAATCCGCCACAGTGAATACCTAAAATATGAACAGTTAAAAATTAATAAGTTGTGTTTCAATAAAAACATAATTCACCTGAAAATATAAATCAATATTAGGTAGTTTTTCGAAAAGTTTTACAGCAAAAAAAAGGTTGGTGTAAGAAAACTAAAATAATTGTATGGCTTTAGGTGCCAACTGTTTGTGTGTAATTGTGTTTGTGGCCACTCAGCTGGTTAGCTGCGCATGTGTTGGTGACGTAATGCCAAAGCACAGCCACTAATACAAATACATCGCAATTGGCGAAGCTTAACACCCCCACAAACCCCCTTGCCCACCCCATAACCACCCACACTCACAAATGCCAATAATTGAAGATCGCTCACACAGACAGTAGAGATTGACTAAAAATACAGGTGTTTTTAGGAAAATAGCAGTTATAGTCCTAAAGTCCTTAAAATAAAACACAACTCTTTATTTGTCTTCCTTTACTCTGGAATTTTTTTTACAGTTTTCTGCAGTTGTGTAAAATTTTTCTTAGGAAAGTTTTACTGTAGCTGGTCACTTGTGTAGGTGAAGCACTTTGGGAGACTGTTCGACGCCCCCTTCAGTGTTATTTGACACACACACACACATAATTCACTGAAAAGGCAATCCAAATCATGCTCTCTGGCCCCCCTTTCCCCACCGTCCCGCTATCTCTATCTTTCCACTCCCTCAAAATTGGTTTTTGTGTTTGTGAAGTCAGGAAAACTACTCGAGTTTTTTTAATATAATTGACACACATTTTCTAATTGTGGCGTTGCATTTGCTGTGTGTCAACACTTTTGTTGCTGCTTTGCATGGGGCATTTATCATGTTTCCAGGTCTGCTTTTGAACTTCTTTATTCGTTTCTCGCTTCTGTAACCTGTTTGACTCAATCAGCTGTGAGGAAATAAAAGAAAAAGACAATAGGCACAATTCATGTAATGGAAACTATAAGATCTGACGAATAAAGTGCGCAATACTTGAACCTCCCACGTGTCCGGGTTTTCAGATACGTTCTATAAAACAAAACAGAAGAAGACGTAGATACATTGAAAAAAACAATATGCTTTTGAATTTTTAAGAATTATAAATACATAATTAATTTAATTAACTTTACTAGCTAAGTTTATTTTTAAGCCATTAAAAATATTTTAAGGGACTGACCATAAAGGTGACCTTACACGTTATTTAAAGAATTTAGAAAGAACCAATAAAAGATAAACTTTCACTATCTCTGAACCTGCTTTTATATAAGTGAAAGTGTTTTTTTTTTGGCAGATAAGCAAAACAAAAAACGAAAATAGTCAACCAAAATAAAACCAAAACAAGTAGCCACAGCTGTTCTTCATCGAAATTGAACTTTGGTTAAAGTTTTGCTGAGGTTTTTACACGTACACTCGACCAATTTATATCAATTCAGATAGCGAAAAAAATATAAATGAAATGTAACGAACTCGGACCCACTCAAAAACACACATACATACTTTTGTCATAGTAATTTTATACGTGCGCAGTTGGAAATGTAAATGAAAGAGTAAGAGGTAACGATAGGGAGTGGGGGAGGCAGAAAGAGAGGCAGAATAAAGAATTGGAGTTGGAAAAATAGCAAGTGGAGGAAAGAGAAGGAAGAGGATGGGGGTTAAAGGAAGGCATTAACACGTCTTGCGGTCATTTGCTTTTCGAGAGAATAAGTGCGTGAGTTCTTTTTTATTTTTTGCTCTCAATTTGCAAGACATATTTTGGCTAAAAATAAAAACGTGCTCGTCCTGTTCTGGCTGGCTCCCACTCTCCCTGTCTCCCTTTCTCTCATTCGCCCACTCCAGTCGCTGCCACAACTCCCCACAAGAGGGAGCGAGATGCGTTCACGTGCTCTCACATTACACACATTTGCTCGCCCACTCACACACACGTGGATGAAGAAGAGCGCCATAACTGGACTGTGTTTGTTTACATTTTTCTTTGCCTTTTTGTTTTTGCTCGCTTTGATTTTGCCTCTGCTTTTATTTTTATTTACTGCGCACATGTGAACATCAGCAGGGCAACGTGGGTAAGCGGGAAACAGAGAGGGGAGAAGAACAGAGACCTGAACTTTATTTATTGTGTAAGAGAATCAGGGTGCCTCATGCTTTTGTAAATGAAAACATTTTTAATTACGCTTTTAATTCAATGTTACATTTCCTGGTCAATTAAATTCAAATGCAATGCAAAGATTTCCATTTTCTAATCAGTAATTCTCTTTTTTATCGTTTTAGCAAAAAGCAAACAATAATGGAATTTTAACATAGTTTTGAAAGGTAAGTAAAGAACAATTTCTCATTAAACTCTGTTCTGATTCTTGGGTTTTTGAAACATTTAACTCGTTTTTCAAGTAAATGTGTATACCGTATCAGTCCCATTTTCCTATCGGATGACCATGTTGATAAGTTAAGTCAATCTACAATATATTCTTTGTTCTGTCAGAGAGAAACAGAGATAAATAGAGAGGATGGGCGGAATAGGGGTGTCTACATGTAACCCATCGAAGGTGCGGCCCCTACAAAAAAAAAAAAAAAAAAAAAAAACCAAAGCTCGCTCAGCTGTGAAGGCTTATGATTGGGAGGGGGTCACCATCACATGAGTACACAAGCAAACACAAACAGAAAAATGGGCTTTTTGTAAGGTCGACAGCGAGGTCAATCAGTGTTTGAAAAAGCGATTGTCTTGCCTCCTTCCTGGGAAATTAAAATTTTAACAGACATGCAAGACGACTGTCAAAAAAATTAAATGCAAGATAAGATGCAGAGATAAGCGGTTTTTTTTTAAAGGTTTTAAACATCAAACGATTTCTATTGTCAATGTATTTTGGAGTCAATTTAAAGAAGTATGTATAATCTTTTTGATGAAAACCAAAGTTTTCTTAAGAGTTGAGTAAACCCAAGAATATCAGTAAAGAAGTTAAATTCAATTTAATTCTGACCAATCTTCCCATTACATCTCAACAATCTCGTTATAACTTCCGCTTAGATGACACATCCTCCACTTAACTTCTGCAGCTAACGAGATATAATAAACTTTTCGTGACGCATCCAGCGGGATGACTAAAGTGAAACACAATCATATAAGATGATGTTCAAAGTAAATAAAAGACGTTTTCTTTGTTTGTGGCTTTCGTTGCACTCACGTGTTAACTTTTTTGGTTTCATAACGCCGAAAAGGGGGGCGCCAAAAAGGAAACCTAAACACAAACGAAAGGCAAACGGAACTTGTTTTTTTTTTTTTTTGTTGCTTGAAAAGTTGCAACATAACAATTTTCCACACGCGGTTGTTTTTCTCTTTCTTATCTGCTTTGAACTGGTTTTTTTGTGTGTTTTTGTGCAGCGCCCCTGGCGGTGGATTTCGTTACCTGCCTTTCACTCCGCTTGGCGCGCCTTCAAAAATTGTTGTATTCGATCTTTGGTTTTTATACCCTTTCTATATGGTTAAATCTTAATCACGAATGAAACGCAAAGCATTTCTACTTCAGTTATATTTTGAAGTTCCAATTCGTTTCCTCTTTTCATTCGCCTCGCCTGCATTTTCCGCTTGGTAATCAAATTTTGTAATGTGCGTCAAAAAAAAAGCAGAGAGGAAAACATGGCAATAATAAATGAGAAGAAATCAAATGAAACGAAAATGTGCAATAAATATATTATTCAAGCAAGACAATCTACAAATACAAATGCAGTGCGCGTTGCAAAATCAAAAAGCATGCCAAGGACGGTGGCCGAGCTAAATGAAATTAGTCCAACAATGCACCGCCTGCCCCCACCCCTCTGTCCGCCCCTTCACCTCACCCGCTTTCAAACTGCTCTCGATCGCTTTGCCAAGAAGTGCAGAAAATAATCAACAAAGTGTGCCAATCAAAGGGGAAGCTGGTGGAAAAACAACCATATGACAAACTTTTTTCGATCAACTTAATTGCCGTTTCTTTAATTCGCTGCCAATTACTTTTGCATCTGTTTTAACCATAAGAAGCAATTATGAAACGTTTATTTTGAATTAGTTGCTGTAAATCTCTACAGCAATTCAAGGTTTTTATTCAAGCAAATAATTAGCTACTTTTTCAAGCCTTAAATAAGCAGGTAAAATAATAATACAATTTTATGCTTATTTTTTCTAAATTACGTATTTCGAATACAATGACGTATTTTCGATGTGCCAAAAATATATTCTCCCTTAAGCACGCGAAATGAATTTTTTTCCCATATGTCCCCAACGACTTTCCACCACATTTTCTGACATTTCCTAGAAAATCGTCGCCCGTTTCCACTGCGTCATCAAGTAAATTTTTAATTTTCGGGTGGATAGCGAAATTTCCGCCGATTTCCGCTTGCGATGAGATGCAAACGATAATGGACAGCTGAAATAGGGAGGGAAATAAAAAAGGCCATAATGTAATCGAAATATGTATTATTAAACTCTTGCACTCCGTTCGCTTGTCCCCATTTTCATACGGGTTTTCGCGTCTGTATATGTTGTCTATTGTGGGCCAAGAGTATTTCATAGATACATATCTATGTATATACGAATGTGCCATAAACAAAAATTGACACACACACGCGCTCAGCAAACATTGCCAAGCAATACAAAAATCAGATGTTTTCTAATACCAACACAGAGAGAGAGGGCAAAAGCTCTCGCTCTCGCGCTCTCTCTTTTATTTTTTGCCTTATGTATCCGTGTCTGTCTCGCGCGCTAGTTATATATTGTGTATGCAGGTCAAGAAGAAACGCAAAAACAAAAGCAAAAGTAAAGACAAACATGTTTACCCAAGAGAGCGCTCTCTCTGGCGCTCTCGTTTTCTTTAGCAACATGTTGCACGCGATTTGCTACACACATGTACACTTGCTTGTTTGTTTGCCTCTTAATTTGGTTTTGTTATTCGAACTGCAATTCTCCGTTTCACTGTTGCTAAGCCAAGTTTTAGCAAAAAAAAAAAAATGAATAAGTTGAGAAAAGAACGCTACACGCTTAAAGATAATTTCCAAATGCAAAAAGAGCCTAAATTTGTTTACTTATTTTTAAAGGCTGACGCAAATGCCAACTTAATAAACAAATAGTATAGTATGAACACATTTAAATTATTAGATTTTAAATTGTACAATCATTTATCACAAATTATTTTGAAGTTAATTGAAGTAATGAATATTTGTTTAAAAAAATTGTAAATACATATGTATTTTTTCAAACTGTATCTTCTTGAATAGAGCATGCCAATAGAAGGTGCCACAAAACGACCTTCAAAGTCGCACACACACACACAAATGCACACCCATACCGATGAAAAGATTTCGCAAAGCTTGGCTCAATGACGTCACGTCGTTAGCAACATGTTGTGAGCTGCCGACCCGCGCGAATGGTGAGGGGGTGGCAAACGGGAAAAGGGGGCGCGTGATGCATTGTACATTGCCAAACGACTGACATGTTGCTCCTAACTGGGTCTCCGGTTAAGTAACGACCTGGTTTCCAACTCAGCCATGTATTTTTTGTTTCTCTCTCTTTAGTGTGCAGTGTGCACATGATGATTTAAGGCCAAAATGGGGCCGTGTCAGTGTGTCGCAGTTAAAAACAATTGGCCAAGAGAATTGTACTGGCCGTTTGTTGCTTCCGCATCGGAAGGATAAGGAAAAGTAAACCATGTCATCAGTACCTAATGCAAAGTACATAACCAACCGACGGACCTTGGGGATTCGATTCAAGTTGAGGGTGCTCCTCTTCTTTTTCGACCTTCGAAGCTTGCAGTGGGTGGTGGGTGGTAGTGGGTGGCGGTGGGTTGGAATCTGCCAGCTGCATCTGTTGCTGGGCTTATTTATAGAACACAGCCTTGTGGACATCGGAATGGAGTCAAGGATAAAATGCAATAAGTCTGGCTGCCTAGTTAGAGCAGAATTTAAGCTTTCCTAAATGCAATATTCTTTAAAAGAGTTCTTAGAAATTTTATATGTTAGTATTTAAATAAAAAAGTTTGTAAAAAAAAACCCTTGTTTTAATACTTGATAAGTGAGTAATCAAAGAAACTTTGAACTCTTTTTAAACTTATCAGTAATTGTTTCTATGAACTGGGGAGACACTCCTTAATTCCATGAAACGATGTTCAAAAATTGTAGTTCTTATCTGTCTTTTTTTCTGAATGTAAAAACCCTAAACATATATTAATTTATAACTCGTTTCCTTTTTCATTTTTCAGTGTACTTCTGGTGCAAGAAGCAGCAGCAGCAGCAGCAATAGCTTGAGGAATCGGAACCGGAACCGGAAACAGCTCCAGATCCAGATCCAGCGGAAAGGCAACCGACCAACCGACCGACCGACCGACCGACCATGATACCCACCAGCGTTACCAACTCCCCACCGCCAGCGGGATTGGGCCAAAACGGAGCAGCCGCCTCCTTGAGCTCGGCAACGGCGTCGGCAGGTGGCGGATTGCTAACCGCCTTGGGGATGGTGGGAATCCCGGGTGGCATGTCCACAGGAACAGCGGGAGTAGGAACAGGAGCAGGAGGAGCAGCAGGAGCAGGAGCTCAGAACAACTACAGCTCGGTGGTCCTGGGCCTCGCCTCTCTAATCCTCGAGGGCAGGCCAATCGCAGACGATGAGTATCAGCAGCAGCAGCAGCCGGTCGGATCAGGATCCCCGGGAGCTGGAGGAGTCTCTGCGGGCGGTGGACGCCTCTCGCCGCGACCCTCTACCTCGAGGGCAGCCATTAACATCACAACGAATCCCTATGGTTCCATGGGAGGATCGGAAAACAGAGCTGCTGGCAATGGGAATGGGAATGGATCGGCAGGTTCGCCCAGCGGCAGCAGCAGCACCACCAGTTCCCTGACCCACCAGCGCTGGACGCAGAAGCTCTGCCAACTGCGCCAGATTTCCCCGGCTGCCCAGGCGATGAGTGCCGAACCCGAGTTGGTTTCACTGGCCATCAGCGATCCCAACAAGGATCACGGCGACTACGAGATTGTGCGGAGGGTAATGCTCAATCGAGCTGGTGGTGGAACGATTGGTAATCCCGGTGGTGGTGGTGGTGGTGGTACCAACAACTCTAGTGCCGCCAGCTCACCGGGCTCCAATTCATCGGACAACATCCTCCACTCGCTGCAATCGCTGGCCACCACCTGTTTGAGGGGCGGACCAGCTCTAGTGCCGCCACCTGTTGAGCCACGCCCCCTGAACTTGGCCTTTTTGTGGTCAGGAGGATCCGGGGGAAATGGTGGCAGGGGATTGGGATTCGGAGGAGGCGGTGGAGGAGGAGGGAGGAGTGGGAGTAGGAGTAGGAGGAGGAGTAGCTGCAGCTAGCATTAGCACCACAACAACAACTGCCAGCAGCGGAGCAAGTAGCTCCGCATCGCGGCCCAAACACGGGCCGCACTGTGATCAGTTCCTCAGGAAGATGGGTCTGGCCAAGGGCGAGACGCCATCGGAGGCTGAGGAGCACATCTGTGATATGTCCTACGTGAATATGACCGTAAGTTTCCAAAAATATTTAGAATTTAAAAAAAAATAACTAAAATTATTTAAAGAACATTAATTTCATGAAATAATATTTTTTTATATTTTATATTATTCTATATTTAATCTCTTACATCTTTTTTGTTTCAGTGCAATCGTTGGCGGGCGTACTGCATGAAAATGGAGGCCATCCTGGCCAGACGCGAACCCGTTTGCATAGAGGTTTACCTGGGTCCTGTGAGCCACAAACTGTTGCTGGAGCAATGGATCATCAGCGGCAAGGAAAAGTGAGTTGTTTAACTAAAAGAAAAACCTTTCACCTTCTTTACTTATAATCCCTCCTTTTATAGAGTTCCTCCGCCCACGATGACGTTGCCTTCGCTGTGCAGCGCCATCCGCAGTCAGTTGTACTTCTCGCAGATCGTCGCCTGGTGTGATCTCCTCCGCAAATGCGATCCTTCGGTCTATGACAGTGGTCGCGTGATCTTCTCCAATTGCGGCAACAATGCGGGCGACTTGGCCACCAGCTATGCACCCAGTGGCGGTGGCCAGAAGCGACCGCGTCTGAACATCTTCTACAGGATCAAGCAGCACAGCATCGGGAACAATGGTGGACTGCACCAGGAGGATGGCTTCAGTGCCAAGGCCAATGTGCACAATTTTCCCAACGTCAATGTCTCGGAGAGCTACAGCATCTCGGTGAGCGTGCGTAGTTTGCCGAGGATAAACGGTGGCCTGCCGCATGTGGAGCCACTGCCACCTAGTCCTGCTCCACGGAGCTTGAGATCCTGTGGAGGAGATCCGGCGAGCACGCCCACTGGCGGCGGTGGGTTACATGCGGCCACGCCGACTGGCCTGGGTGCCAGGATCAGTGCACTCACCCCAACGACGACCACAACGGCCAGCGGCTCCAACTGTGATAATGGAAAACCAGGAATGGGTCAGGGATTGGACGATCTCGACGGGGATTCGAGTTTGAGTCATCGCGAGCGGCAGCTGCAGAAGTATCGCAAGCGAATGCAGCGGAGAGATAAGAAGAGGGAGAGGAAATCCACGCCGGAAAGGGGTGGCAATCATCCCCAGCAGCAGACCGAGGAGCCGATGGAGGAGGGCGAGGAGTCGCCATCCCCGTCACAATCTCAGACGCCGTCGGAGAGCCAATCCCTGGCCTTCACCCTGCAGCAACCCAGGCGCATCGCCATGATCTCCACGGGCACGCAGACCTCGCTGAGCAGCTGCCAGCAGTGCGGCAGCGAGAAGACGCTGCTCTGTCTCAGCTGCACGGGTGGCGCCGAGGAATCCCCCAAAGGAGCAGCCAATGGAGCTGTTAAGAAACCAAGCAATCGATCGGCAAATGGCTGCTCTCCTCCGGAGAATGCAGATGACGACGGGGATACATCGGCCTCCGAAATGGAGGAGACCTCCACCTGCAGCCTCAGCAGCGGCGATCTCATCGTGGGCACACCGCGCAACAAGGCGGAGCTCCTGCTGCAGGCCATCCAGCGCACCCCAAAGAACCGCACGCGGAAGCCCCATCAGGCGGTGGATTCAACTGCTGCCGCTGGTGGCGCCTCCTCCTGTCGCAACTCAGATCTCAACGGTGGCGGGCAGAACAACAACCAGCTGAAGGCCACGCCCGCCAGCAGCAGCAGCGGATGTCAGGTGTGCAAGCGCCAGAAGACGCAGCACAACTTTGCCAATGGCAAGGACCATCAACCCACCAATGGAGCAGAGCTCTCTGCCAATGGCTTTGACAGCACGCCAAGGGATTCCGAGAAGCCCAAGGAGGTTCAGGTAAGGGTTCTTTAATAACCTAAAGGATTCTCTAAACTAATCAAGTGTTTATTGCAGATCACCTCCACCAAGCTGACGCCCAACCTCGAACGCTGCTCCCTGAATCCCGCAGAGCGCTGCAAGACACCACCGCCCGGTGTGGCCGACCACATAGTGGTGCAATTCAAGACGCCTCTGAGCCAAGTGCCAGTGAAACCTCAACCGGATGCAATGGTGCCGCTGCAGCAAAGCAAATCCTCTCCGAAGCCAAGTCAACTGCGATTGATTTGCGGCAGCGGAGTGCTGGAGAGCGAAACTCCGCCACCCACTGTGTCGCCGCAAATGCGAAAGGCTCTGCCCAAGGTGAACCTGACGACGATCTTCTGCAGCTCGGCTCCCATTGCCATTGGCTGTCCAGCCTTTAGCTTCGATCCGGCCACCCTGAGCCACGCCCATTCGCAGCTGCTGGCACCGGAGGCGAGTGCCACGCCGCCCGTGCAGAAATCCTTCTCGGCTCCCACTTTGCCGCATGCCGCTTCTCTGTCCGTTTCGCCCAGATTCAGCAAACAGGCGCTGGCCGCCCACAAGCGGCGTTCTCGCCACTTGAGCGATCGCAGCGATCGGAGTTCTCTGGGCTCCGACGAACAGTTGTCGGACGAGGATTTGGAGTCGGGACTGTGCAGTCCAGCCGGTGGATCGCCGTTGAAATGTCGCGCCAGATTGGCGGCTCATTTTGGGGGACGTCCTCTGCTGGGAAATCTGGAGGAGTCGCTGCTGCAGCGGCGGCTCATGCCCAAGATCGAGGTGCTGGGCTTCAAGCTGCAGTTGGGCGCCTCCGGAGTGTTCTGTCCCACCCAGCTGACCATACCGGCGGTTTCCTACTTCTACGAGCTGCATGGCGAAACTCTGAGCACGCCTTACTTGGTAAGGATTATCATTATTGGAATTAAGGAAGGTTAACTATAAAACGTTTCTGGTTTCAGTGCGAGATTCGTTTGCCGCGCAAGGGTTATTCGGTTCCGCGAACGGGCACAGTGCAGGCCACCTTGCTGAATCCCATGGGCACGGTGGTGCGGATGTTTGTGATACCCTACGACATGCGGGACATGCCGCCGCTGCACCGCACCTTCATCCGGCAGCGCATACTGGCCGAGGAGCTCGGCCAGGAGCAGCAGGAGGATGGGCCAAAGATGCCGAGGAGTCCCACGGTTACCAGCACCACCAGCAAACTGGGCCACTTCATCAGTGCCGAGCAGATGAAGCGGCTGCGCTACTCCATACACCTGAGGTATGTAAATGAGTTTAAGTAGCTCTTCCTGGATTGGATTCCTGACTAATTTATATGCTTTGTAATCTTTAGGTTCCAGACATCTCGCTCCGGACGATTGTGCCTGCATACGGACATCCGGCTGCTGATCTCACGCCGCACCGATTGCGATACGGCGGCTGCCCATGCCAAGGGCGTTCTGGAGGCACCCAACGAACTGGTGACGGACACCATGATGCCCGCCGAGCCGCGCTACAGTGCGCGACAGGAGAGCGCCGGCCGGATTTAGTAGCTACTGCGAGCTTTGGGCGGCACCATCGAGCTGCTGCGCCGCCTATGCAAGCAGCTCCAGGAGAAGTGGCAGCAGCGCGAGACGCGGGATCTACGGCAATGGCCCAGATACCAATTGTAGGAGGAGGAAGCAGAGGAGGAGGAGGAGCAGGAAGAGCAGGCAGAGGCGGATGGCAGGAGGCGAAAGAAACTCCTGTGTTTGTGTGTGTAGGACAACCAACCAACTGCTTTACTAGTTATCGTTTAATCTATCCCTAAGCTTAGTTTCTTTTGAATTCTTTATTCAATTTCTTAGTTTTTTTTTTCTTTGGTATTCCACCTCGCGGGAGGTTCTATTATTCGATTAGTTTTGAATTTGAATTACTGGAGAAATGTGTGTGAAAAAAAAACATTGCGAAAGTAAAATGTTGAATATGATGAAAGCAATCGAATCGGTCGGTCAGTCGGACGGGCGAACCAAAAACTAACGGTATCCGTAACTCTAACTGTATCTGTAACTGTATCTTTGGGGGTCCACAAACAAGAAGAAGAAAAGAAGCGAGCGGAGCAATTAGCAATACTGAATGAAAAAATAAGAAAGAAAAACTATGCAATGTGTGAGTGTGAAAACGCAAGGGAGTAACTACGTATATAGGGCAGTCATGCAGATATCACATACAATATATATATATATATATATTTAAATATATATTTATGTACCATATGTATAATCGTCATGTAGCGTCAGCAATTTTAAAGGCAATTCTGTGGATGATTAACGATTTGCAGTAGGTTTTTGGAAAAAGGAAGAGAAGAATGGTTGATGATAAAAGGTGCGCTCATATCGATCGTTGTTGTTAGTGTGTAGTGTGTTTTAACCGCAGAAATTTGAAAAGAAAAAAATCCTTTTGTTGAGTGCAAGTTTGAAATGAATTTAACTCCTCGTTTCGGTTTTGGTTTTGTATTTCCGTTCTGAGAGTGTCTATTAAGCGTGCCTGTGATACGATATGAGCTGCATGCGGGGGGTATTTCTAATAGAGTTTTTAGTTAAATACAATTGACGATCACATTTTTGTCGTTTTCCCTTTTTTTTTGTTTACAAACTACTGAATAGTTTCCCTGTTTTGATTTCCATATGCAATAAGTGCTTGAAGTTTATTTGCACGCCATGCAATCCGGGGGATTTTATAGAGATCACCCGGTCAACTTCAAGCACATCTGTACTTCAATAATACGAACTACTATACGGATCTAGATGTGTTGAATTCTAACCAAATTCTTATTTTCCAATTGATACCTGACTATAACTATTGTATAACAACGTACTACACAGCTATTAACAAATTTTCAATCTAGGTGGTATGAAAAACAAATAAACATTACATTTAGAAAACAAAAACAACAAAAAAATAAAGAGAAAAACTCGAAAAAAAACCAAGCGAAACAATAAAGCAAAGTCGATGGGAAAATGAATTGGACCCGTCGACTAGGAATCATACAATTTACTTTGTTCAATTTGTTTTAAGTAGAGAGCTTAATGTGCGCTGTCAATAGCAATTATATGTGTAACAATAACACCAATATACAATACAATGATTCAATAAAGGGAAGGAGTGTTTTTCATTTGTGAGATTGGCGGGAGAAATTTAATTTCTAAATTTGGAATCTATATTTAACAAATTTAAAAAAAGTTTGAAGTTTTCTCGAAAATTGTTGTTAAAGAAACAATGTTTTGGAAGAAGCTGTTTTAATTACCAATCCTTCACTTAATTAAAAGCAGTTTTTCAAATCGTGAAAGAATCGTTACAATTTAAAGAAGAAACAATCATTTTTTGAGGATGATCTGGTATATTTCTGAGGTATTCTTACTAGTCCACTCTGGTCTCACTATCTTCGAAATTACCTAATTTCTTGGTAAATATGCGGCCCAACTTGTTTTCCGGTGCCTCGCGGCTTTTGAAATACGGCCGGAATGGAAAACTCCTGACTCGGGCGAGGAGCACGAAGGCGACCTCCAGCAGTCTGGACTCCCAGCAGCAGGAGGCGGCGGCCACCGAAGGAGGAAAGACCGATTTCGTGGAGGAGTCACCGGAAGATCAGCAAAAACTGCCCACCCGTGAGCCGCTGGCCAAGAACTTCTTTATCGGAGTGGTGGACAAGGAGCTGCTGGCCTATCCGGAGGTGATTCCCCGCGATGAGATGTCCCAGCTGCAGAACTCCCTGCTCCCCCTGAAGAATTACTTTGTGGAGCCCCGGGAAACGGAGGAGAAAACATCTCCTGAGATTCTGCGCCAGCTGGGACTCTATGGCCTCAATGCGCCCACGGATTTCGATGGCAAAGGCTACGGTTGGAGTGCCAGTCTGATAGCCAGTGAACCAGATTCCACGGATGTAAACGTGACCCTTGGCCTGCAAACTCACCGCGTGGTTGTGGATTTGCTGAAGGAAGTCGGGACTCCCCTGCAACAGCAGAGATATCTCCAGGATTTAGCCCTCGGCAAACTGATAGGCAGCGAAGCCATCTATGAGTACACCCCACCCGAAGAGGACTACTTTAGCACCAAGGCGGAACTACTTCCGGAATCCGGAAAGTGGCTGCTCAACGGCGAGAAGGCATTTGTGGTCTGCACTCCGGGGGAGCGCCAGCTCTTCCTCGTTCTCGCCCAAAGCCAGCAGCCAAATGTGCCGGGAGCCTTGGGACGAGGCACGACGATTTTCCTGGTGGATTCCCAACAGGAGGGTGTGCGTCTGGGTGAGAAACAGGCCACCTTTGGTTGCCGGGAAGCGGAAATCCGACGTGTGCACTTCGATCAGGTGAAACTAAGCGTGGAGCAGGTGGTGGGCCTTCCACACGACGGCAACCGCTACTCGGAGCAGCTGGTTCGGTCATCTCGACTGAGAGGCAGCATAGTGGGCTTATCGCTGGCCAAGAAACTCCTGAACGAACTGGCCCAGTACAGTGTGTCAACCACACAATGTGGAGTTCAACTCAAGTAGGTGTAAATCATTTAGTTTTATACACTATTCTATTTATTTTTTCTATAGGGACCTCGAGCTAACCCGCGTCCACCTGTCGCGAGCCATGTGCTCCGTTTATGCGATGGAGAGCATGCTCTACATGACTGCCGGCCTGCTGGACGAGTTCCGTGCCCAGGATGTGACTTTGGAGAGCGCCATCACCAAGTTCTTCACCCTGCGTCAGCTGTACGAGATTGCCTCTCAAAATCTAGGCCTCGTGGGGCCCAAAAGTCTGCTCAGTGGCGAGGCCACGGAGTTGGGATTACGAGATGCCGCACAGCTGTGCACGCAGGGTGAATCTCTCGACACGCTGGGCATGTTCATCGCTCTCACAGGATTGCAGCATGCGGGGGTAATTGATGCGACTTCATAACTGCTTACTGTGGTTTTTATTCACACATTTCCATTTTACAGAAAGCCATGAATGCGGGTGTGAAGAAGTCGAGGAATCCCCTCTTCCATCCTGGTCACATTTTCGGCAAGTTCCTGGACACCAATAGCATCGACAATCCCAAGACTAAGATGCAGCTCTCGGAGCATGTGCATCCGTCTTTGGAAGCGGCAGCTCAGTGCATTGAGCATTCGGTGGCCCGTCTGCAAATGGCTGTGGAGCTGATGTTCACCCGCCATGGAAACGCGGTGGTGGAGCGCCAAAGTGAAATGCAGCGCCTGGCGGAGGTGGGCACCACCGTCTATGCCATGTGGGCCAGTGTGGCGAGAGCCTCCCGATCCTACTGCATTGGCCTTCCGCTGGCGGATCACGAACTGCTGACGGCCACGGCGATCTGCTCGCAAGGAAGGGACCGAGTCCACACCCTTTGCAATGAGATCTACGGCGGTAATTTCGTGAACAATGACAACAACCTGGTGCGACTCTCCAAGCAGCTGGCAAAGAGCAAGGGATACTTCCCCGTCCACCCGCTCACGTTCAACTTCTAAGCCTGGCTAGTAGTTTAGTTTTTATTGTCTTTACCATTTAAATAAATATTTGTTATTGATGAACTCGTTAAGGTGCTAGTTACTACTAATTATTGTTTATTGTACTACATTCGCAATCGACCTCAAGGGCTTTTGCTCATGTAAAAGTATAGTAAATATCAAATGTTTGTTGAAATAACTAATACAGAATGAATTCGAAAATTTAAATCTCCCGCGCTTTAAATTCGATCATTGAAGTCTGCCACGGCTTAATGTGGTTGGTGCATTTGCTAAACTCGAATTATGTCTTCGCTAAGTTAGGTTCTTTTTGTATGGTTTTTTTTGGGAAATGTTTAAAGCCGACATCCTGGCAGTGTTTTAGTATTTTTATTGTTTTAGTATTATAATTATTAGTATTTTCTCCATCGAAGCGGACGGACGTACGTGCTAGCAGATAGAGCGATAAACTTAATTCAAATCTAATAGCGTAGAAAGTAAACAACCACTATGATTGATTCTTGAGCGGGCGTGTTCTTTTAAATTCGTTTCATTGATCGATTCTGAAAAGTAGAATTAACAAAGACAAATTTTATAAGATTCGCAAGCCTCGCGGAACGCTAAAAATTGCGCGTGTGCGGGTGGAACAGTGACACTTGTGTGAAAATCATCGCCAAGGAAGAGGCGGATAATAAAAAGGAAAAACGCCCCCGGCGAAAATAATTGTATTCGTGTGGGTGTGCAAAAAATAAAGAAAAGTATCAATAGCAAAGAAGTTCGAGAATTGCTAAAAAATTAAGTGTGTGTGTGTGCGAGTGGGTGACAAATGATTGGGCAGCGAAAAAGAAAAGAAGTCAATCGGCGATAATCAGACTCAACAAATAAAGACGGTGAGTTGATATTGTTAACTAAGCAAGACACACAAAAATCTTATAAAAAGTCTTCTAATTTGAAGACACCCCCTAATTTACTCCCGCTGAGTTCAATACTACACCCCTCCCCTTTTTTATCAATCCACCCCCACCCGCTTTCAACCGCAAACAAATAAAATGGGCAAAAAACCGAAGCGGATAAAGAAGCAGAAGAAGTAGCGTCGCCGATTTCAGTCCTTCATTCCATTTCACTTCGTTCCACATGGTGCATAGACATTGTTGTTGTTGTAGCCTTTGTTGTTCTTGGTGTATTTCGGCTTGACTTCTTACACACACAAGCAAACAACTGGCCACAGCAAATACAGCATACAGTGGAAACTCTTTTGTTGGAGCGATAGGCGCTCTTAAAACAATGGGTTTTATAAGAATTTTATTTTTGATTATAGTTTAAAAATTAAAAGTTCCCCCGAAAAGTGTCTTAAAGAAGAATAAACGCATTACCCAAGAAAATATTAGTTTAATCAAGTTCACAAAAAATGCTGTTTAGGGATATCCTTACGAATCATATGTTTATGTTTTTAGAAATATTAAAGTAAATAACAGTTGAAAACGAATCAAAAAAGTTAAGTTCACTGTACTCCCACAAATACAGTGACAAATACAAGGGGCTGGGGGTGGCAGTTGAAACAGCGGCAGAGGCAAAGACACCTCGAGGAGTCAACTCACCTCTCGAAACCGATTCCTCTGCTTCAATTTTTTCTTTTATTTTTCTTTTTGCGCTCATATTGTATTTTATTATATTTTTTTCTTGCCCGCCCTGTCCGCATGTGTTATGCGTGTGTGTGTTGGGCTCACACAAATACAATTCATCAGCGGCAGAGAAGTCGGCGTCGTTTATTGTTGTTGTTGGTGCTATTATTTGTTGTTGCTGGTTCTGCGCGCTTTTATTTGAGATTTGCGCACGAATGGCTTTTGCTTTTGCTCTTGGAGTTGTATATATAAATTGAAAAGGGGGGATGGGGATGGGGTAAGGGGAGAAGGGGGAGGGCAGGCTAGTTTTGTACTAGAGTTCGCGGACACACACAAACCCATACATACATACGTTCATCAGAAATACGGGTATACAACATAGAGAAAAAATGAAGCAAAAAAAGCGGCAAGTGGATTGGGCTTTGGATTTTGTTTTATACACTTTTCCCTCGGTCCTTCTTCGCCCTTTCCCTCCCATCTTTTGACTGAATTTTTGAGCTCCTCCGCCACCCTGCCCTTTTCTTCTGTTTTCTTGGCATATTTTGCTATTTCCCTTTGCATGTTAATTGCCGGCGTTGAACTTTTAGTTGTTAATCAATTGGTTTAGGTGCTCTAACCTTTTCTGTTTGCCTCGTTTTGTTTGTTTTATAAACACACATGTGCCGCTGTTTCTTTTGTTTGCTCAAATTGAAATTTGGTTAAATGGCTTTAAATGAGTAGATAGTTTAAAGGTAATCATTCCTTATTATTGTTTAACATTTTTGTTTGTTTTATCAATAAACTTTTTAAGTTCATAGAATTTTTTCAGGATTAGGAATGTTTTAGATCTTAAACAAGCAGAATTGTTATTTTATAAAAATTTAAGTTTTGGGAGAAATGGGCTTATAAGAATCTTTTACAATCTACAATTTTAAACTGTGCGTTTTACAAGCTTCTCTTGGCAAGATTAAGATTGAAGATTATTTGTTTAGATTCCCTTACCGTTTTCCAAATAATTTTCCGCGGCTAATCAAAAGGTTAACTATGTTGATATAAACTTCTTTCTGTTTAGTCCCAATTTCCCCTTTGCATTTCCGATTCTCTTTTGGTCGACAGATGTCGCCACTGTAGCCGTTCTTCTTCTTTTTGCTTTACCTCTGCCCGCAAATCGATTTCGATTTAGCGCTCTCTCTGTCGCACACACCCTCGATTTCTGTTTGTGTGTGTGAGCAATAAGCTTAACATAAATCATTATAACGGCACATACAGGAGGGACCTTACATGCCACACCGCCCTTTGCCCACTTTATTCCACGGCCCCCATCACGCCAACCCCCTCTTTGTGTATGTCTGAGTGTATTTGTCCGTTTCGGCTGTCATTTCATATGGATTTCTATATGGGAACGCACAAAATCGATTTCTAATCGTGTAAATAAATGGCGACAAATGCTGCGACCTCTCCTTTCCCCTTCACCCCCTCGTAACCTCTCATCCCTCCTCTCGGTTAGCAACAAAAATCAGAAGGAAAGAGACAGAGACAGCAGGAGATCTGTGGGGCAATTGTTTCAGAACCAAAAACCGCACACTGAAAATAAACATAACTCATTTGTTTTTATTTTTATTTGAAAGTATAAAGAGCTATAGGTGTAAAATAAATAATTTTTAAATCTGGTACTTCAATAATTTAATGCTCCATTTTTGAAGATCAAAATAGATTTCTGAAAAAAATATATTGGTTACACATACATATTTTTTTCTTTGTGAAGCGAACAGATTTCTGGTTGCACCTTGAGCTTTTTCAATGGAAAGGAAATGGGGAATAAGCGGCAAACCAAATTCAAACAGGATTCCAATCGAAAGGTGGATATAATCGGAAGGTGAAAAGAATGGGGAGAAAAAGGCGAAAAAGTGAAGCAAACATCAGACGCAGCAGCGATGTTGAGACGCCATGGGCGGAGGAATTCTCAATATTCGGAACTTTAAAGCCAAGAAATCTTAACAATATGCAGAAGCCTAAAGCAAATAATAACTGACCAACTTAGTGGGGCTACAGCCAAAATTAAATATATATTTATTTAATTTAAATTCATAGTTGAAAATATAGTTACTGCATACCACCAAAAAAAATAAGCGATATAACAAAAGGATATTAAGCAAATATCAAAAATGAGGATGACACTCTGTCAGTTGATTTCTAGGGATTCCAAAATGTTGCAGAATAGATAAATTGGGATTTTTGGGGTGCAAATGCAGTTTGTAATGCACACACCTTTTATATGTTTTGGTTCTGGCCTCTCGCTTCCCCAAATTCAAACACAATTCAAAGTGCCAGCTAAAAGGGCAAAAAATCGCACCCAGAATGGGGGATTTTATGCCCCCTCTTTATCTCATCCCCTCCGTTTTTTCCGATTCTCTGGGGAATCATCGATGGATAACACAAAATTGAATTTACTACTGTGTTGCAATTGTTTTTGTTTTTGTCTTTCCTCGCACGCTTGGAAAATATTGGCAGTAATTGAATTTATGGGGGAAAGAGGAGGAAAAAGGCAGGTCAACACTATCCAAAATTGAAATACTAAAGATGAGTAAGCCACCTATATTTTCAGGCCCTCTTTTTGCAACCATTCGTAATTTCGATTGTCCATTCATTTGACGCTGCTATCTCTCTTCCACACAATGTTCGCCAATTTTCATTGCTATTTTCCTTGTGGTCGAAAAATTCTCTTATTTCTGCTTGGTTCCGTTTATTTGCGTAGCTTATTTCGTGTTACGAAATATACATATATTTTTCATCAGTTCGGTTTTTAATTGAATCGGTTATTGGGAGTGTGGTTTGGGGAATATACATATTGGTACTTTGAATGCTCGATGTCCGAAATTGTGTGGGACAATATAGATAGATTTACAGACGAATGCATTGCATAAATTATAATTTTTACAGGAGTATTCGTCTATGGAAGGAGAGTTCTTTAAATATTAACGAAAGTACCTTTGACCAATAGATACAATAAATTAACAAATACTAAAAATAACTGACAATTTTGTTGTAGTAATTAACGAATTTTTTTTTGAGGCTTCCCAATTGGTTATTTTTATTCTATGGCTTTTTAATATTGGTAATAATAATGTTATGGCCCCAGCAATCAGTGCACTCACTGTTGGATAATCTTGTTATTTACTAGCCTCGCCATTGCTGCTCTAAACCGCTTCTCCCTTGTCGGCTTGCTTCTGGTTCGGCCATCTTAGTGAAGCTCAAAGTGAACTTTTGCCCCGTGTTGTTGCTGCCTCCGGAGGAGAGATCCAGGATAAAGATGATATAGAGGGAGTTGAGTATGCTGGCGGAAGGACGAGGGTCGAGGTCTCGAGTGGGCAACTGTTTGCCTTTGGTTTTGGCCCATCATCCAGTCACCCCAAAGGCATTTGTGCTCTACTTCATTATGTGGATATATGTATGTTTGTATGTACTACACATATGTGTGTGTATCCGTGTGTGCAGCGGTCGTCGTTGTGTGCGTGTGTATCTATGGGTGGGCAAAAGGTATAGCCAAAGCTAAAGCTTCGCTTCGCTCATGTCCTCGGTTTCGTCGCCTATTGAATCCTGCTTATTTCTGGAAGGGAAGCGCAAGTGGCGGCATTTTCGTGGCTCTCGAAAGGAGAGTGGGAAAACGACAAGGACGAAAAGGGGAAGAAGGGGAGGAGGAAAGTCAGGATATCCTCGGCCTTTATTCAATGTTGTAATTATATGCTCGCTAGTTCGCATATGCTTCTGGCTATTTTTCATACACTAGGCAGCAACGTAATTGAGGCTTTCATTTATTTAATTAAATAAGTTTAAAGTACTTAATCTTTATTATAAGAATATAAACCAAAAGCTGATAACTTGGTTTGGCAAGAAGATTTAAAATAATATTTCCAGTGCAATGTATTTTAGACTTCAACATTAAATTATTCAAATAATTAAAAATTACCTACATATCTCAATCTGAGCATTTTTCTGTGTACCTCATGTTTTGCTTTTAAATATTAATAGGAAAACAGGGCCATGTTGACCAATGTAAAGACTGGCATGTCTGTTTGCATGAATCGCGAGCTTGGACCGAGCTCTTCCTCTGCTTCTTCCTGCTGGGAGTCGCCTCCCACGCCCCCTCCATCCAAACCCCTTGCCGCCCACTTTTGTGCAGCGAAAACTTTGCAATTTCGCTTTTGTGCTCCGAAACTCATGTGTCTCGCGTGTGTGAGTGTTGCAAGTATCTGCAACTGTTGTATCTGTATCTGCGCAGCGAGCATTTT